TATCGGACCGTTGTGGTGAAGAGGGAGCTGAGCCGAAAGGCAAAGCTCTCGATTTACTGGTCAATCTTCGTTCCCTCCCTCACCTATGGTCATGAGCTTTGGGTAATGACCGAAAGAACGAGATCGCGGATACAAGCGGTCGAAATGAGCTTCCTCCGCAGAGTGGCTGCTCCCTTAGAGATAGGGTGAGGAGCTCAGTCACACGGGAGGAGCTCGGAGTAGAGCCGCTGCTTCTCCACGTCGAGAGGAACCAGTTGAGGTGGCTCGGGCATCTGTTCCGGATGCCTCCTGGACGCCTCCCTGGGAAGGTGTTCCGGGCACGTCCCACCGGGAGGAGGCCCCGGGGAAGACCCAGGACACGCTGGAGGGACTATGTCTCTCAGCTGGCCTGGGAACGCCTTGGGGTCCCCCCGGACGAGCTGGAGGAAGTGTGTGTGGATAGGGAAGTCTGTGCGTCTCTGCTTAGACTGCTGCCCCCGCGACCCGGCAACGGATAAAGCGGAAGAAAATGGATGGATGGATGGATGGGTGTGTCAGTTATTATTATTATAGATCCATGGATGTGTCAGTTATTATTATTGATAAATGGATGTTCCAGTTATTATTATAGATAAATGGATGTTCCTCTCTCATCAGCAAACACACGTTAATACATTTAGGTCTGATAAAATTACTTTTAAGTGATGCACAAACGAGAGCCATAGCAAATATATAATCCATATCTAATAATCATTTATTGCATATATGTGCATTGTTTACATAAAATATACCTTTGTAAAAACTAATGATTACTGCCAATACTGTTGTTATAACAGAGAAAGTGTAACAACAAAAGCATCCTCTGTTTTTTCAGAATACGATTGTAAACATCCAGGGGGCTCTCATTACCTGAACCCGTGTTTAGACAGCCTGTTCTGGGCTTCAGCACTGCAGCTAACTGGGCTGTTAGCTTATAGCACCGGAGCTTCAGGCTGGAGGTAAAGTCCGAAAGTTTTCGAATTTATCTCCAAACCGACTTCAGATATGACAATAAAGGGGGATATTTCTCGCCTCAAATGATATTAGAATTAACTTTTATGTCCTAATTAAAGCGTATTTAGAACTTTTTACCGTCCATCATGGCCGCCGTGTCCTTCCGCTTCGCTCTGAGTTGTGTAGTCACGTGACGAAGGCAGAAGGCAGCTGCTGTCCAAATCCACCTCACGTCTCGCCTCCTACCTCGCCTCCTACCTCACCTCCTACCTCGCCTCCTACCTCGCCTCCTACCTCACCTCCTACCTCGCCTCCTACCTCGCCTCCTACCTCGCCTCCTACCTCGCCTCCTACCTCGCCTCCTACCTCGCCTCCTACCTCGCCTGTGGCTACGCGGCCTTCCCTCTGTGCCTACATATCCACCCTACGCGGCCCGATGCCTAGCGTTTTGGACACAGCCATGGACTTGGGCAGAAGAGAATAAAGTGCATCATTTCAAACATTTTCAAAAAACTAAATGTTTATCACCATGCAAAACTTTGACATAGTCTGTAGGGGGCGCTAATGAGCCAATTTAAATTTTTTTACTTTAAAATGACCTAGAGCCTGGAGCTGAACAATGGATTAAAATGTTGAGTAAATGAAGCTTTGTTTGTGCAAACGGGAGCAAATTTGCTATTGTCAAAATTTGAAAACAAAAGTCACATTTTGCCGCTTCGCTGCTCGAACAACATTTCACTGATCAAAATTCTATGATCAACTATTGATGGTACATGTGTTTAGACCATGTGGAGCGATTTTGAGGTAAATCGGTGAAACGGCCGAGGAGGATTTCCGACCGACGTGTGAAAAGGATCATTTTTCATTTTTCCATTCTCCAATTAAATTTTTGGGCTTCCTGTTTGTCAGGGGGCGTGGCCTGTCAGTCAGGGGGCGTGGCTATAACATTGTTTTCATGTCTTGACTTCATGAACATGTGTACCGGATTATGTGGCTCTACGACAAACTTGATCTAAGAGAATTTCATTAAATAATGACAAATACAACGTCACAAAGTTTACAGGCAGTAATGACACGTCCACAATGAGACACCGTCAGAATGACTGCTCTGGGAGTCAGAAGGACTGCTCTGGGAGTCAGAAGGACTGCTCTGGGAGTCAGAAGGACTGCTCTGGGAGTCAGAAGGACTGCTGTGGGAGTCAGAATGACTGCTGTGGGAGTCAGAATGACTGCTCTGGGAGTCAGAATGACTGCTGTGGGAGTCAGAAGGACTGCTGTGGGAGTCAGAAGGACTGCTGTGGGAGTCAGAAGGACAGCTCTGGGAGTTAGAATGACTGCTGTGGGAGTCAGAATGACTGCTGTGGGAGTCAGAATGACTGCTCTGGGAGACAGAAGGACTGCTCTGGGAGTCAGAAGGACTGCTGTGGGAGTCAGAAGGACAGCTCTGGGAGTCAGAAGGACTGCTCTGGGAGTCAGAAGGACTGCTCTGGGAGTCAGAAGGACTGCTGTGGGAGTCAGAAGGACTGCTGTGGGAGTCAGAAGGACAGCTCTGGGAGTCAGAAGGACTGCTCTGGGAGTCAGAAGGACTGCTCTGGGAGTCAGAAGGACTGCTCTGGGAGTCAGAAGGACTGCTCTGGGAGTCAGAAGGACTGCTGTGGGAGTCAGAATGACTGCTCTGGGAGTGAGAATGACTGCTGTGGGAGTCAGAAGGACTGCTCTGGGAGTCAGAAGGACTGCTCTGGGAGTCAGAAGGACTGCTCTGGGAGTCAGAAGGACTGCTGTGGGAGTCAGAAGGACTGCTGTGGGAGTCAGAAGGACTGCTGTGGGAGTCAGAATGACTGCTGTGGGAGTCAGAATGACTGCTCTGGGAGTCAGAAGGACTGCTGTGGGAGTCAGAAGGACTGCTCTGGGAGTCAGAAGGACTGCTCTGGGAGTCAGAAGGACTGCTCTGGGAGTCAGAAGGACTGCTGTGGGAGTCAGAATGACTGCTCTGGGAGTCAGAAGGACTGCTCTGGGAGTCAGAAGGACTGCTCTGGGAGTCAGAAGGACTGCTCTGGGAGTCAGAAGGACTGCTCTGGGAGTCAGAAGGACTGCTCTGGGAGTCAGAAGGACTGCTCTGGGAGTGCATTGGCCTTTGATGTGCTATATACAGGTCCTCTAAAAAAAATTGCATATTGTGATAAAGTTAATTCTTTTCTGTAATGTACTGATAAACATTAGACTTTCATATGTTTTAGAATCATTACACACAACTGAAGTAGTTCAAGCCTTTATTGTTTTAATAATGATGAATTTGGCAAAAAAAGTATCTCAGAAAATTAGCTGTAATGGAGCAGAGTCCATTACTTGGTGTTCACAGGTGAGGGGAATGAGGCACTCAAATGTTTTAAAGAAAGTTTAATCATGTGAAGGTGCAACATTTAATTATACTCACCTTTTTGTTTTCTTGTTTGTCTGCCCTCTTTAGGTGTTCCGGCCAAAAGAGTCCCAAGGCAGCCGGAGCACCTACAGAGGGTTCCGGGTGCATCCACTCTGCAGAGAGGAGGGGTGTCCAGGGTTTTTATTTTTTTCACATTTAGTAATGTTATAGAATTAATAAATCACTGCTAAATTTAATAAAGAGATATATTTTTGTAATTTGTAGAGGATAAGATTCTTGCTTTAATCATTGCTGTATTTTTTGTATTTTGTGGATTTTGAGCGTCAGTGGATGTGGGCTAATTACTGTCACCTGCTATTAAAGCAGGCCACCAACTCTGAGCAGGAGAGTGCTGGTGGACATGCTGTCCTGATTTTAACACAAAAATGTAAATACTGTAAATATATTTGCACCGGATCTGCACTGGAAGCTGCCTCTGTTCAACTTTGTTCCTTTAAATATCCTCATAAGTGCCATCCTGACATGACAAGTGTCACATTAGCACATCATGAAAAGGTCTAAATGAGCCATTAACCACAGGCTGTGTCCGAATGTCCACACTGTACCCGATATAGTGCACTCTATAGTGGTCACGCCATCTTGTAGGGGTGTCTGAATGTCCAGAGAGAAAAAGTAGTGCACTGGAATTTTCCCACAATGCATCTCGAAAATGTAGTGAGCCTTTGGGCATCAGCGCAGTCGAAAAAAGTCAAATCCATTTAATCACCAAACCGACCTCTGATATGACAATAAAGGGGGATATTTCCCACCTCAAATGTTATTACAATTTTATTTTTTTTTATTATTATATTTTATTGCAGACAAACACATATACAGAAAAAAAAATAGAAACAAAGAAAAGGACTAGTTCAGATACATTGTAGACAGAGATTACAAACAATATGTAGTTGGAGATACAGGGGGCCAAAGAAGAAACCCAGAAGGGCACATAGGAGGAGGGGGGGGGGGGGGGGGGGGGGTTGGACTATACTATGGTGTTTACAGTCTATGGTCTATACCCACACATACACACACACACCCACACACCCACACCCATAAACACACACACTCCACACACACACACATACACCCAACAGATAAGATAAGATATAAAGTCTGCCCGCCTGAGTCTCACCAAGCTAAGCGGAACCCAGCCAACATCAAAACCAAATCCGACACACACACAGACCCCCAAGCAGGCCCCCACCCCAAAAAGGGGGGGAGGGAGCCCACGCCCGGCCCATGCCCTCTCTTATTTTGTTCCTTTTTCCCAAATGTTTTTCTTAACTAAACGTGTCATGCATTAAAATAAGCTTTTGCTTACCCTGACTTGTGTATTATCATTATATGCACATATGCACATATTATTCATGTTATTATTATATTTATTTACTTATTCATTCATTTTTATTTTTATTTTATTATTATTATAAATTTTTATTTTATTATTTTTATTTTATTTTAATTTATTTATTTTTCCTTCTTCTCCCCCTAAATCAGTCTAAATCTATGTGATGCATTAAAAAAAAAGAGCCTGGGCATGGTAACCTCCCCTCCTGCGGGGCCCCCGGAGGACAGCGGAGCGCAGGACACTGGTAGATGTCAGCCTTTATCCGCGCACCGGGCTGGCACAGACGGGCAGTGTCATGATATTACCGTGTCAATGTCTATAACCCGTACACACCCACACACACACACACGCGCACACACGCACACATATGTAAATAATAATAATAATAATAATAATAACAACAACAACAACAATACAATACATTGCTATTAGTGTAAGCAATAACTCTAGGAAGGTGTTTTCTGTGTCTTGAGGTGCGGTGGTCCGAGGTTATTTATGAATAGAGTCCATGATTTAGTGAAGGCCGCCATATGCTTCTGCTTCTCTGCTGTTTGTTTTTCTAATAAAATATGGTCTCTGAGTATGTTGGTCCAGTGGTTGATATTGCAAGTGTTTTTGTTTTTCCAGTTTTGGTATATAACCTTCTTAGCGAGAGTAAGAGAGATGAGGAGAGGAGAATGATATTCATGTGGTAGGTCTATTTGTGTGATATCTCCTAGAAGACACAGTAATGGATTTAAAGGGATTCTGCAACTCAATATGGAGGAGAGTTTATCTGTTATTGCAATCCAGAGTGCTTGTACCGGGGGACAGTTCCAAGTGGCATGTAAATACGTGTCTGTACTATCCTGATTGCAATGTGTGCAAATGTCTGTGTCTACTAATTTCATTTTAATCAGCCGGTTCTGTGTCAGGTGATATCGATGAATGGTTTTATATTGGGTTAGCTGAATGTTAGTGTTTGTGGTGAGGAAAGTGTTTCTACAAATGTTGTTCCAGAAGCAGGGATCAGGAGAGAAGTTCAAATCTTGCTGCCATTTTTCTGCTGGTAGTGTTAACTGAGGGTTTATTGACGAGATTAACTTGTATATTTTAGAGGTGATCTTTTTTGAACTTTTTATATTCAGAATTTTATCGGTTAGTGTTGAGGGTTGTAATGCATTTTCTGATAGTTTAGTTTTATTCTTAATTAAGCCTTTGAGTTGGTGGTATTGGAGGTATTGCTCTCTCCCAATCCCGTACTTCTGAATGAGTGTGTTGAATGCTATGAATGTATGGTTTTCAAAGAGATGTTTCATGCCACAGTGGAAAATAAATGGGTGAGTTTTGCAATTGAAAGTCGGGGTTGTGCCAGATAGGGGTGTGTTTACAGTGATAGTAGAGAGTTTGTGATCTTGTTAACTTTCCACCAAGCTGTCAGAGTCGTCGAGATTGTGAGAGATTTGAAATATGGGAGTTTTTTTATTGATTCTGGTAAAAAAGGGAGATCTGCTATGGGTGTTTTGCATTGGTCTTGTTCTAATTGAATCCATTGCTTGTTATGGTTTTTGTTATAAATCCAAATGTATAGATATTCTAGTTGAGTGGCATAAAAATAGCGAATAAAGTTTGGGGCTTCAAGTCCACCCTGTATTTTTCCCTTTTGTAGTGTTGCATGAGATATCCGTGGTCTTTCATTTCTCCAGTAGAACTGTGTTGTAATAGAGTTTAATGATTTAAACCAGTTAGCAGTGGGTGTGATGGGGATCATTGTAAATAGGTATGTGATTTGGGGTAGAATTTTCATTTTGACTGTGTCAATACGGCCTAATAATGACAATGGGAGGTTATTCCAGCATTTTAAAGAGTCTTCAATTTTTTTAAGTAGTGGGGTGTAATTAAGGTTGAAGAGCTCTGACAGCCTGGGGGAGATTGTGATTCCCAGGTATTTGATATTGTTTGCCTGAAGGGAGGGAAATGATTTTTGAGTTGCAGAATCCCATGCATCTTTGGTTAGTGGTAGTATGGTTGATTTAGTCCAGTTTATTGTGTAATTCGAAATAGATGAAAACTTTTTGATTGTATTAAATGTTTCTTGCAGTGAAATACGTGGGTGTTGCAAATATAATAATAAGTCGTCTGCATAAAGGCTGATTTTGTATTCAGTGTTTCCTTGTTTGATCCCTTGAATTTCATTATTACTCCGTAAAACTGTTGCTAAAGGTTCAATGAATAAGGCAAAGAGGGATGGAGAGAGTGGGCAACCCTGCCGGGTTCCTTGGTGTAACGTGAAGTTAGGTGAGGTAATGCCGTTGGTGGTGACTGTGGCTCTAGGTGAGGAGTAAAGTGTCTGAATCCATTGGACGAACGACTCTCCAAAACCAAATTTCTGTAACGTATTAATGAGGAATTTCCAGTTGACCTTGTCAAATGCCTTTTCAGCATCTAGTGAGAGAATAATGGTTTTATTTTGTTCGGGTGTAAGTTTAGCATGTCCATGAATTGTTTTACTGTCGTGGTATCTGGCGTCCTGTCCGAAGTGTATAATTTTCTGTAATCCATCCATCCATCCATTTTCTACCCTTTAATCCATTTCTGGGTCAGGGGGGTGACAGTCAGAGATGCCACCCAAGTCTCATAGCACCAGCCCCTAATTTTTTAGGGGCTTACAGTAATTTTCTGTAATATTGTTGAAAAATATTGTTTATCTCTTGTGGGTCTTGTGTTATAATACCGGATTCATCTTGTAGTGAGGTGATGATTGATCTTTCTTTTTTTTGCTGTAGTAAGTTTGCTAGAAGTTTACTGTTATTGTTGCTATAATGGAATTGTTCATATTTTAGTTGCTGGATAATAAAATCTGTCTTCTGGTTTATTATATGATTGAGTTGTTCCTTTGCTTCATTCAATTATTTTTCCAATTGTCTGTTTGGGTTTACGACGTGTTGCTGAGAGAGTAGTTTGACTTTTTGTTCAATAGTGTTTTCTAATTCTCTTTGGATTTTTTTCTTGTGCGAGGAGAAGGAAATGATTGTGCCTCGGAGAACTGTTTTTCCCGTTTCCCAAAGGAGTGATGGGGAGATGTCTGGAGAGTTGTTCGTCTCTAGGAAGGAAGCCCACTCTCTCCGTATGAATGTGTTGAATTCTGCGTCTTCTAGGAGAGATGTGTTTAGTCGCCATCTTGACTGTTGTTTATTTGTGTTCAGTTGAGTAGATATTGTCAAGGAGACGGGTGCATGGTCGCTGATTATAATTGGATGTATTGTGTTTTCAGTTATATATTTGGTAAGCGAGTTACTGATAAGGAACATGTCAATCCTGGAGTATGATTGATGGTGAGGAGAAAAGTATGTGTACTGTTGGTGCGTGGGGTTTCTCATTCTCCAACTATCATTGAGTCCGTAGTTCTGAATGTACTGTTTTATTACTTCTGCTGAGTGAGAATGTCTTGTGCCACCCGGAGTACTTGAGCGGTCTAGTGAAGGGCTAGTAACAGTATTAAAATCCCCTGCAAGAATGATGTTACTATGGTTTTGGAGAATGGAGAAAACATTATGAAAAAACTGTGGGTCATTGTTATTTGGTGCATAAATATTTGCAAATGTTTATGGGATGTGATTAATGGTAGTTTTGATTATAATATACCTTCCATCTGGGTCTGTATGAGTTGATTCATGCATAATTGGGATGTTTTCATGGAATAGGATTGACACGCCTTTTTGTTTACTATTAAATGTGGATGAGAAAACGTGCTTATAGTTTTTAAGTGTGAGTTGTTGTGATTCTGGTTGTGTTAAGTGAGTTTCCTGTAAAAAGCATATGTCAGCCTTCAATTTTGATAAGTGATTAACTATTTTTGTTCTTTTTGAGGTGGTACGGAAGCCACGTACATTCCATGTTATGATTTTGAGAGCATGCATGCAGAAGTGTGTTTGTTGCGTTCAAAAAGACAGCTGTATGATTTATCAGGTGATGCGGGGTAATAGAACATATTTCATAAGTGCAAAAACTGGACAGAAGGTGTAACACAAAATTAGATGAAGAGAAAAAGGTGGGATGTGGGGGTGGGAAGACAGGGCAAGCTGTCATGATTCTGTTTTTGTTCTTTTTCCAGAGCATGTGTGAGACAGGGGGCGTGGCCGGTCTCTGCTGGGCTGCTGACGAGACACACCTGCATCCACTCACTCCACTCTACTCAGTATTTGAACCTGGTCTGCTCATCACTCCTCTGCCAGATAATTCCGTCATATCGGTAGTGCTGCATAGGTTTTTCTCTACCTACTGTATCTGTTTTTTGGATTACTTACCAGTTGCTATTCCAGATTCTGTGCTCGTCCAGTCCTTGTGTCTTTGCTCTGCTCTCCGGCCGGCCTGCTCCCTGTCTCCACTGCTCCTTTCATTTTGAGTATTTTGTCGTATTTGTTAGCATTAGCATCTGTATACAGTCCCTGTCGGTTAGCATGTAGCATCTGTATACAGTCTGTGTTAGCATTAGCATCTGTATACAGTCTGTGTTAGCATTAGCATCTGTATACAGTCTGTGTTAGCATTAGCATCTGTATACAGTCTGTGTTAGCATGTAGCATCTGTATACAGTCTGTGTTAGCATTAGCATCTGTATACAGTCTGTGTTAGCATTAGCATCTGTATACAGTCTGTGTTAGCATGTAGCATCTGTATACAGTCTGTGTTAGCATTAGCATCTGTATACAGTCTGTGTTAGCATTAGCATCTGTATTACAGTCTGTGTTAGCATTAGCATCTGTATACAGTCTGTGTTAGCATTAGCATCTGTATACAGTCTGTGTTAGCATTAGCATCTGTGTGTGTCTCAGAGTGTGTTTGGACCTGTCTCCTGATCTCAGCAGCTGCAGAGCTGTGTTGACGTCCTCCAGCCTCAGTCTCTTTGTGATGAAAGTCTCCAGACTCAGATCCTTCTTGTTCTTCATGTACTTGTCCACGAGCCCCGGCAGGTCTGAGGCCCCCCTCCAGCCTGCATATACACACACACACAGTGAGGTCCCCTGCGCACACACAGACACACACACACACACACACACACAGTCTATCGAGCCAAAACCATGTGGGCTTCACCTCCAAAGTAGGTCCCCTTGATGGTGCGTCCCATGAGGAGCTGGTCGCCGTGGATTCGGAGGGGCTCGGTGCATCCCGCCACCACACACACTCCCCAGGCCTCTACAGTGGACTCCAGGGCCTGGGCCTGCAGAGAAGCAGAGTCAGACTGTACAACGAGGTCCATCCGGTCACAGCCCCAAAGCATGACGTTTCCACCCCCATGCTTTACAGGAGACCAGAGAGTACAACCAGAAAGACACCAGAGAGAGAGACCAGAGAGAGGGACCTGAGAGAGGGACCAGAGAGAGAGACCAGAGAGAGGGACCAGAGAGAGAGACCAGAGAGAGACCAGAGAGAGAGACCAGAGAGAGAGACCAGAGAGAGAGACCAGGGAGAGAGACCAGAGAGAGAGACCAGAGAGAAGGACCAGAGAGAGACCAGAGAGAGAGACCAGAGAGAGACCAGAGAGAGACCAGAGAGAGACCAGAGAGAGAGACCAGAGAGAGAGACCAGAGAGAGACCCGAGAGAGACCAGAGAGAGAGACCAGAGAGAGGGACCAGAGAGAGAGACCAGAGAGAGAGACCAGAGAGAGGGACCAGAGAGAGAGACCAGAGAGAGAGACCAGGGAGAGAGACCAGAGAGAGAGACCAGAGAGAGAGACCAGAGAGAGAGACCAGAGAGAGGACCAGAGAGAGACCAGAGAGAGAGACCAGAGAGAGACCCGAGAGAGACCAGAGAGAGAGACCAGGGAGTGGGACCAGAGAGAGAGACCAGAGAGAGAGACCAGAGAGAGACCAGAGAGAGACGAGAGAGAGAGACCAGAGAGAGAGAGAGACCAGAGAGAGACGAGAGAGAGAGACCAGAGAGAGAGACCAGAGAGAGAGACCAGAGAGAGAGACCAGAGAGAGACCAGAGAGAGAGACCAGAGAGAGAGACCAGAGAGAGACCAGAGAGAGACCAGAAAAAAGTACCAGAGAGAGACATGAAAAGGACCTGTGTCTAACCATAGAAGAGACGTCTCCAGTGCACTCCAGGGCATAGTCCACTCCCCCGCTGGTCATCTCCCTCAGCTGGTCCTGGACAGGCTTCTTGTGCGGCTCCTGGGGGTTGATGAACTCTGTGGCTCCCAGGGCCAGGGCCTTCTTGGTCTTCTGCGAGTTTGAGTCAACAGCGATGATTCTGGAGGCACCAGCAGCGCGACAACCCACCACCGCGGCCAGTCCCACTGCTCCCAGGCCAAAGACAGCGCATGTGGAGCCCCTCTGCACCTGAGCGGGGGAGACGGGGGAGACCAGGGGTGAGAGAGAGACCAGAGACAGACCAGGGGGGAGAGAGAGAGAGAGACCAGAGACAGACTAGAGAGAGACCAGAGAGCGACCAGAGAGAGACCAGAGAGAGACCAGAGAGCGACCAGGGGAAAGAGAGAGACCAGAAAAGAGACCAGAGAGAGACCAGAGAGAGACCAGGGGTGAGAGAGAGAGACCAGAGAGAGACCAGAGAGAGACCAGAGAGAGACCAGAGAGAGACTAGAGAGAGACCAGAGAGCGACCAGAGAGCGACCAGAGGGAGACCAGAGAGAAACCAGAGAGAGACCAGAGAGAGACCAGAGAGCGACCAGGGGAAAGAGAGAGACCAGAGTGAGACCAGAGAGAGACCAGAGAGAGACAGAGGGAGTGGCTACACACACACGGAACAGCCTCAGGCCGATGCACACATTTGACTTTGTTTGAAATGTATTTGCATTCTCCTTCGTTGCTTTTGAAGTCCTCGTGATGAGTTGCAAGATGGGTCCAACGCAGAGAACACTAATCTGACCTGACAATAAACTGCTACTGTAGCCACAGCTGCCCTGGGGCACACTGACAGAAGTGAGGCAACCAGTCTGTGCCATCGGCCCCTCCCACACACACCAGACTCATTCTAATGTGGGGGAAGTGTCTTGCCTAAGAACACAACCACAGTTTGGCACTTTACAGCCACAGCCGCCCCACTGTGGCACCTGCTGTTCCCAGAGGTCTCCCATCACAGCTCTAACCAGGCCCGGCCACGCTTAGCTTCAAAGGTCTAACGGGATCTGGCTTTCACCCGCAGGGGGCGCCACATGTGAGACAGCAGGGACAGAGGTTGCTGGTCTCTGCAGAGGTTCTCAATCTGAGGTCCTTGTCACCTTGGCGGCGTTGAGAGCTGCTCCGTATCCCGTGGAGACGCCACAGCCCAATAGGCACACGGTCTCCAGCGGCGCGTCCGCTCTGATCCTCGCCACCGCCGCGTCCGAGACCACGGTGTACTGCGACAGACACGACACGCCCAGGAACTGGTAGACCTGCTGCTGGTTACAGGACACACGACTGGTACCATCGGCCATCACCCCCTTCTGAGACTGGGCCCTGCAGACACCATAAAGTCACTACGCACAGGTACTTTGGCTTAAAGGCAGAGGAAAAGGTTAGTGGTCTCTCTCTCTGGTCTCTCTCTGGGCTCTCTCTCTGGTCTCTCTCTGGTCTCTCTCTATGGTCTCTCTCTATGGTCTCTCTGTGGTCTCTCTCTCTAGTCTCTCTATGGTCTCTCTCTTTGGTCTCTCTGGTCTCTCTCTCTGGTCTCTCTCTGCTCTCTCTCTGGTCTCTCTCTATGGTCTCTCTCTATGGTCTCTCTCTCTGGTCTCTCTCTCTAGTCTCTCTCTAGTCTCTATGGTCTCTCTCTCTGGTCTCTCTCTCTGGTCTCTCTCTCTGGTTTCTCTCTCTGGTCTCTCTCTCTAGTCTCTCTCTCTAGTCTCTCTCTCTAGTCTCTCTCTATGGTCTCTCTCTATGGTCTCTCTCTATGGTCTCTCTGTGGTCTCTCTCTCTAGTCTCTCTCTATGGTCTCTCTCTTTGGTCTCTCTGGTCTCTCTCTCTGGTCTCTCTCTATGGTCTCTCTCTATGGTCTCTCTCTCTGGTCTCTCTCTCTAGTCTCTCTCTCTAGTCTCTCTCTATGGTCTCTCTCTATGGTCTCTCTCTGGTCTCTCTCTGGTCTCTCTCTCTGCTCTCTCTCTGGTCTCTCTCTATGGTCTCTCTCTATGGTCTCTCTCTCTGGTCTCTCTCTCTAGTCTCTCTCTAGTCTCTATGGTCTCTCTCTCTGGTCTCTCTCTCTGGTCTCTCTCTCTGGTTTCTCTCTCTGGTCTCTCTCTCTAGTCTCTCTCTCTGGTCTCTCTCTATGGTCTCTCTCTCTGGTCTCTCTCTCTCTCTGGTCTCTCTCTGCTCTCTCTCTGGTCTCTCTCTATGGTCTCTCTCTATGGTCTCTCTCTCTGGTCTCTCTCTCTGGTCTCTCTCTCTGGTCTCTCTCTCTGGTCTCTCTCTCTGGTCTCTCTCTCTGGTCTCTCTCTATGGTCTCTCTCTATGGTCTCTCTCTATGGTCTCTCTCTCTGGTCTCTCTCTCTGGTCTCTCTCTCTGGTCTCTCTCTCTAGTCTCTCTCTCTGGTCTCTCTCTCTGGTCTCTCTCTCTGGTCTCTCTCTCTGGTCTCTCTCTCTGGTCTCTCTCTATGGTCTCTCTCTCTGGTCTCTCTCTCTGGTCTCTCTCTCTGGTCTCTCTCTCTCTCTGGTCTCTCTCTCTAGTCTCTCTCTCTGGTCTCTCTCTCTGGTCTCTCTCTCTGGTCTCTCTCTCTGGTCTCTCTCTCTAGTCTCTCTCTCTGGTCTCTCTCTATGGTCTCTCTCTCTGGTCTCTCTCTCTGGTCTCTCTCTCTGGTCTCTCTCTCTGGTCTCTCTCTGGTCTCTCTCTCTGGTCTCTCTCTCTGGTCTCTCTCTCTGGTCTCTCTCTCTGGTCTCTCTCTGGTCTCTCTCTCTGGTCTGTGTTCTCCCACTCACACAGAGGAGGTAGGTCTGTCACGCTGAGAGACAGAGTGAATCACATACAAGACCTAGAACCACACAGGGACCTGAGAATGACCTACAGAGAGCTGGGACCATGTAACAAAGGCACCATCAGTAAGAAAGGCACCATCAGTAACAAGCGGCCTTTCCAGGTCCTAGAGCGGCCCCAGTCTCCATAGAACATCTTTGGAGGGAGTTGAAAGTCAGTGTGGCTCAGCAACAGCCTCAAAACATCACTGCTCTAGAGATCTGCAGGAGGAATGGGCCAAAATACCAGCAGCAGTGAAAACCTTGTGAAGACTTAGAGAAAAGGAGTTCTTCCAACAAAGGACTATAACAAAGTACTGAGAAGACCTTTTGTTTTTGACCAATACTTACTTTACACTATCATTTGAAATAAATCCTGTAAAAATCAGACAGATTTCTTTTCCCGTTCTCTCTCATCGTTGAGGTTTAACGATGATGAAATTACAGAACTCATTATTTAAGTGGAAGAAGTTGCACAATCTGTGGCTGACTAAAAACTGCCACAGTGTCACACTGAAAGAGGAAACAAGAATCAACAGGCTCTGAAGGCTCAGCCTCAGTCCTGGGTCTACTCAGTCCTGGGTCTACAGTCTCAGTCCTGGGTCTACAGCCTCAGTCCTGGGTCTACAGCCTCAGTCCTGGGTCTACAGTCTCAGTCCTGGGTCTACAGCCTCAGTCCTGGGTCTACAGTCTCAGTCCTGGGTCTACAGCCTCAGTCCTGGGTCTACAGTCTCAGTCCTGGGTCTACAGTCTCAGTCCTGGGTCTACAGTCTCAGTCCTGGGTCTACAGCCTCAGTCCTGGGTCTACAGTCTCAGTCCTGGGTCTACAGCCTCAGTCCTGGGTCTACAGTCTCAGTCCTGGGTCTACAGCTTCAGTCCTGGGTCTACAGCCTCAGTCCTGGGTCTACAGTCTCAGTCCTGGGTCTACAGCCTCAGTCCTGGGTCTACAGCCTCAGTCCTGGGTCTACAGTCTCAGTCCTGGGTCTACAGCCTCAGTCCTGGGTCTCACTCACCAGTTATTTCGGCACATGTTCGTTTTGCCGCTGCGGCACTGGGCACAAGTCCCACACTCAGGCAGAAATAGAGGAATCACTTGGTCTCCTGAGAAACGCACACACAGACACACACACACACACACACACAGATATAGACACACACACACACACACACACACAGACACACACAGACACACACACAGACACACACAGACACACACAGACACACACACACACACACACACACACACACACACACACACACACACACACACACACACACACACACACACACAGACACACACAGACACACACACAGACACACACAGACACACACACACACACAGACACACACACAGTGAAAAATCTGCAAAATGTCATATTTCATGCACTGCTGGTGTATACTCCAACAACATCATATAAGAGATGCTCTCTCTCTGGTCTCTCTCTGGTCTCTCTCTGGTCTCTCTCTGGTCTCTCTCTGGTCTCTCTCTGGTCTCTCTCTCTGGTCTCTCTCTGGTCTCCTCTCTGGTCTCTCTCTGGTCTCTCTCTGGTCTCTCTCTGCTCTCTCTCTGGTCTCTCTCTGGTCTCTCTCTGGTCTCTCTCTGGTCTCTCTCTGCTCTCTCTCTGGTCTCTCTCTGGTCTCTCTCTGGTCTCTCTCTGGTCTCTCTGGTCTCTCTCTGGTCACTCTCTGGTCACTCTCTGGTCACTCTCTGGTCTCTCTCTGGTCTCTCTCTGGTCTCTCTCTGGTGGTCTCTCTCTGGTCACTCTCTGGTCACTCTCTGGTCACTCTCTGGTCCTCTCTGGTCCTCTCTCTGGTCTCTCTCTGGTCTCTGGTCTCTCTCTGGTCTCTCTCTGGTCTCTCTCTGGTCTCTCTCTGGTCTCTCTCTGGTCTCTCTCTGGTCTCTCTCTGGTCACTCTCTGGTCACTCTCTGGTCACTCTCTGGTCTCTCTCTGGTCTCTCTCTGGTCTCTCTCTGGTCACTCTCTGGTCACTCTCTGGTCTCTCTCTGGTCTCTCTCTGGTCTCTCTCTGGTCTCTCTCTGGTCTCTCTCTGGTCACTCTCTGGTCACTCTCTGGTCTCTCGTCTCTCTCTCTCTCTCTCTGGTCACTCTCTGGTCTCTCTCTGGTCTCTCTCTGGTCTCTCTCTGGTCTCTCTCTGGTCTCTCTCTGGTCTCTCTCTGGTCACTCTCTGGTCTCTCTCTGGTCTCTCTCTGGTCTCTCTCTGGTCTCTCTCTGGTCTCTCTCTGGTCTCTCTCTGGTCTCTCTCTCTCTCTGGTCTCTCTCTGGTCTCTCTCTGGTCTCTCTCTGGTCACTCTCTGGTCACTCTCTGGTCACTCTCTGGTCTCTCTCTGGTCTCTCTCTGGTCACTCTCTGGTCACTCTCTGGTCACTCTCTGGTCTCTCTCTGGTCACTCTCTGGTCACTCTCTGGTCTCTCTCTGGTCTCTCTCTGGTCACTCTCTGGTCACTCTCTGGTCTCTCTAGTCTCTCTCTGGTCTCTCTCTCTCTGGTCTCTCTCTGGTCACTCTCTGGTCACTCTCTGGTCTCTCTCTGGTCTCTCTCTGGTCTCTCTCTGGTCTCTCTCTGGTCTCTCTCTGGTCTCTCTCTCTGGTCTCTCTCTGGTCTCTCTCTGGTCTCTCTCTGGTCTCTCTCTGGTCTCTCTCTGGTCTCTCTCTATCCTCTCTCTGGTCTCTCTCTGGTCTCTCTCTGGTCTCTCTCTGGTCTCTCTCTGGTCTCTCTCTGGTCTCTCTCTGGTCTCTCTCTGGTCTTTCTCTGGTCTCTCTCTGGTCTCTCTCTGGTCTCTCTCTGGTCTCTCTCTCTGGTCTCTCTCTCTCTCTCTCGTACCTGGAGAGACCTTGGTGACTTGAGGCCCCACACTCTCCACCACACCAGCTCCTTCATGTCCCAGGACCAGGGGGAAGGGCCAGTCTTGCTGCCCCCCATGGTACAGGTACGACCAGTCTGTGTGGCACACTCCTGCATACAGCATCTGAGGGGGGTAGAGGGGGAGAGAAAGGGGGAGGGCGGGGGGGAGAGAGAGGGGAGAGGGGGAGTATTGGTTGTGTTACTGGTACATGGTTGTGTTGCCAGTACATGGATGTGTTGCTGGTACATGGTTGTGTTGCCAGTACATGGATGTGTTGCTGGTACGTGGTTGTGTTGCTGGTACGTGGTTATGTTGCTGGTACGTGGTTATGTTGCTGGTACATGGTTGTGTTGCCAGTACATGGATGTGTTGCTGGTACGTGGTTGTGTTGCTGGTACGTGGTTATGTTGCTGGTACGTGGTTGTGTTGCTTGTACGTGGTTGTGTTGCTGGTACATGGTTATGTTACTGGTACATGGTTATGTTGCTAGTACGTGGTTGTGTTGCTGGTACGTGGTTGTGTTGCTGGTACGTGGTCATGTTGCTGGTAAATGGTTATGTTGCTGGTACATGGTTGTGTTGCTGGTACGTGGTTGTGTTGCTGGTACGTGGTTGTGTTGCTGGGACATGGTTATGTTGCTGGTACGTGGTTGTGTTGCTGGTACGTGGTTGTGTTGCTGGTACGTGGTTGTGTTGCTGGTACGTGGTTATGTTGCTGGTACGTGGTTGTGTTGCTGGTACGTGGTTATGTTGCTGGTACGTGGTTGTGTTGCTGGTACGTGGTTTTGTTGCTGGTACGTGGTTGTGTTGCTGGTACGTGGTTGTGTTGCTGGTACGTGGTTGTGTTGACAGACCTTGATGCGCACTTCATGGTCTTTGGGCGGATGCACCTTCACGGTGGTGATCTTCAGAGGCTTTCCTGGTTCCCACGCCACCGCAGCTTTACATTCGATCACCTGCAACCAGCGGAGGACCAGCAGAGGACCAGCAAAGGACCAGCAGAGGACCAGCAGAGGACCAGCAGAGGAACAGCAGAGGAACAGCAGAGGAACAGCAGAGGACCAGCAGAGGACCAGCAGAGGAACAGCAGAGGAACAGCAGAGGACCAGCAGAGGACCAGCAGAGGACCAGCAGAGGAACAGCAGAGGACCAGCAGAGGACCAGCAGAGGAACAGCAGAGGAACAGCAGAGGAACAGCAGAGGAACAGCAGAGGACCAGCAGAGGACCAGCAGAGGACCAGCAGATTAAGCAGAGGAACAGCAGAGGACCAGCAGAGGAACAGCAGAGGACCAGCAGAGGACCAGCAGATTAAGCAGAGGACCAGCAGAGGACCAGCAGAGGACCAGCAGAGGACCAGCAGAGGACCAGCAGAGGAACAGCAGAGGAACAGCAGAGGACCAGCAGAGGACCAGCAGAGGACCAGCAGAGGAACAGCAGAGGACCAGCAGAGGACCAGCAGAGGAACAGCAGAGGAACAGCAGAGGAACAGCAGAGGACCAGCAGAGGACCAGCAGAGGACCAGCAGATTAAGCAGAGGAGCAGAGACCAGCAAGGAACAGCAAGACCAGAGCAGAGGACCAGCAGAGGAACAGCAGAGGGACCAGCAGAGGACCAGCAGATTAAGCAGAGGACCAGCAGAGGACCAGCAGAGGAACAGCAGAGGACCAGCAGAGGAACAGCAGAGGACCAGCAGAGGACCAGCAGATTAAGCAGAGGAACAGCAGAGGACCAGCAGAGGAACAGCAGATGACCAGCAGAGGACCAGCAGAGGACCAGCAGAGGACCAGCAGAGGACCAGCAGATTAAGCAGAGGACAACTCAAACATGAGCTTGGTAATGACTCGTGCTTCATGGTCTTTCTAGCTGTGTCTCTGTGTGTAGTTATTACTTTTATCAAAATATCTTTTATTTTTTAAATCTTCTACTTTTAACTCACAAAGCAGTCATTTTGAAAATAAATGGAATTCTTAGAAAAGCCAAACTATAACTTTTACTAATATTAAGCAATTGTTATAATGTAATGTAACTGTAAACAGCTGTTAGTAAAGAGTGACATCTGACATCTCTGAAAAATGTAGATCTTGGAACCGTAAAAAGGACGGCTCTGGGAGTTAAGACATTTGAAGAATAAAGCCGTTTATCATAAAACGGACATAAATGAACAGCATGAAGAAGCAGAAACAGCCACACCGTTATATCATTATGAAGCTACATGAGCAGAGACTACACTTTAACCCTGGGACGACAGGTGTAAATATTCTCTTGCTACAACCTGAAAGCATCTGTCCTTTGGCTAATGTCTGATCCGCAGTGTTATAATGAGTTATTATGATAAAGTATATGCACGTTAGTGTCCTTCTATGGCACATATGACACTAACACAGGAGCCTTTGTGGGCGCGTGATCGTAAACAGGAAACATCTCAGTAATAAACAGAACAAAACACGAGCTGAAAAACGAAAACAAACTAGAGTGAACAAACCGTGCCAGGAGTCGACATGTTTATGGATCACAAAGAGGCGATTAAGAAATAACTTCAGTATCGCAGATCCTGAACTTGGCTGGGTGGGGGCTCGAGAAGGCTGCGTCCGTATTAACAAACACATGCTTCCTTTTTAGTCCTAACTTCACCTCAATGCTTTTTTATTGTATTATTTTTATTTCAGATTATTTGGAGCTACTTCGTTTCATAATGACATTGTAAATGGCAACACAGACTAAGGAGAGAAGGTAAAGGAGGTATGTTGTATGTTACCTCTGAGCTTCAGAGGTTACAGGACCTGGCTTTCACCTGCAGGTGGATCCAAAAACCTGAACGTTTTACAATATGTTAATTTCATTATACATGTATCAAAACAACATTAAAAATAAAACAAAAATTAAGAAATCATACAAAATCAAAGAGTAGAAAACAAGTTGCGAAAGTCTGCTGCTGTTTTGAGAATCGCCGCTAGATGGCGCTGCTGTCGCGCTTTACTCTACACACGATACAGCCATAACAATCATTTTTCCTCTTGGTTCTTTTAGACTCTTTGGTTTCATTATTAGCGCTTGATATTTTTCCCAACACACTTTTCCCTTTTCGCTAGATGCTAACACCAAAGTAGCAGCTGTTGTTAGCGAATCCATTATTAGTCTTCGGCTAGCTCTAGGATTGATATGAACAGTAGTGATTATGGTTACGATGATAGCAGTCGTAAAGATATGCTAATCGAGATGCTAATGCTAAAATAGCCTGGACAGAAGTGCATTCTGGGAAAAAAAAATCGACTTTAGCCGCGTGCTTCCGCTTACGGCGCACGCAGCTCGAGCTCACACGTGCGTCTGCAGACTCGTGGAGGAGAAGTTTCCGCTGATCCGGTCCAACGCTTCGATCTCGGTAAGATGTGCCGCTTACCGCCGCGCAGTGAAGCTGGACATACGCGGGGCTCTGGTCTTTAACGTGGAAAGAGTTCGTGCTGATGTTAGCATAGTGTTAGCATAGTGTTAGCATGTTGTGTTAGCATGTTGTGTTGATGGGAACAGTGTGCAGAGTCCTCACTGCTTTGCTGATGTGTTCCATTCAGAAACTGAGTCAAATACATAGATATAGTTTGATATAGTATATATTATTTACTTAGTGTTTGCATCAGCTGTATAATATTTGTAGAGTACAGTGTTGCTGGATTCCAAACTACATCCGGTCAAACCTTTTCTCGTACCAAGCTATTGTTTATGTAGGAGGTACTTTTAGAAGTATATTATTGCTTTTGGAACTGTCAAATATATGTACAAACTCTCATATATTACCCTCACGTCGGACCTGTGCCCACTTTTGGTGTGTGTGTGTGTGTGTGTGTGTGTGTGTCTCTCTCTCTCTGTCCCAGTGTGTGTGTCTCTCTCTCTGTCCCAGTGTGTGTGTCTCTCTCTCTGTCCCAGTGTGTGTGTGTGTCTCTCTCTCTCTGTCCCAGTGTGTGTGTCTCTCTCTCTGTCCCAGTGTGTGTGTCTCTCTCTCTGTCCCAGTGTGTCTAAGTAAGTAAGTAATATTTATTTATATAGCACCTTTCACAGACAAAGGTCACAAAGTGCTTCACAAAAAATACAAATATAAATAAAAGTACATTTACATTTACAATCACAAAACATGGTGGTCATAAAACAACCCCTTTCCCACTGGAATTAAAATGCTTTTTCAAACAAGTATGTTTTCAGTTTACACTTAAAAACATCAACACAATCAAGTAAGCGCAAGGAAAGCGGAAGATCGTTCCAGAGCGTCGGCGCGACCACCTGGAAAGAGCGATCTCCTCTCGTCTTGTAACGGGTACGAGGGACCATGAGAAGGTTCTGATCCTGAGACCTCAGCCTCCGAGAGGGGGTATAAGGACACAACAAGTCTCTAATGTAAGAGGGACCATGAGAAGGTTCTGATCCTGAGACCTCAGCCTCCGAGAGGGGGTATAAGGACACAACAAGTCTCTAATGTAAGAGGGACCATGAGAAGGTTCTGATCCTGAGACCTCAGCCTCCGAGAGGGGGTATAAGGACACAACAAGTCTCTAATGTAAGAGGGACCATGAGAAGGTTCTGATCCTGAGACCTCAGCCTCCGAGAGGGGGTATAAGGACACAACAAGTCTCTAATGTAAGAGGGACCATGAGAAGGTTCTGATCCTGAGACCTCAGCCTCCGAGAGGGGGTATAAGGACACAACAAGTCTCTAATGTAAGAGGGACCCTGAGAAGGTTCTGATCCTGAGACCTCAGCCTCCGAGAGGGGGTATAAGGACACAACAAGTCTCTAATGTAAGAGGGACCCTGACCATGCAAGGCTCTGAAGGTCAACACCAGGATTTTAAAATTGAAACGAAAAGTGACTGGGAGCCAATGGAGGGCTTTTAGAATGGGAGTAATATGAGCCCGTCTGTTTGTGCGAGTCAGTAACCTCGCCGCAGAGTTTTGTACCTGCTGAAGGCGGGACAACTCCTTTTTGTTTAGACAAGAAAATAAACTGTTACAATAGTCTAAACGGGAAGACACAAAGGCGTGGATAATAATTTCAAGGTCATCCCTTGGCACAATTGCTCTAAGTTTGGAGATTTTTCTCAGTTGGTAAAAACAGTTCCTTGTCAGCAGTTTTGAGCGATGCTCTAAGGACATTGCTTTGTCAAAGTTAACGCCTAGATTTCTGAGGCTTGCTTTGTGTGTGTCTCTCTCTCTCTGTCCCAGTGTGTGTGTGTGTCTCTCTCTCTCTGTCCCAGTGTGTGTGTGTCTCTCTCTCTCTCTGTCCCAGTGTGTGTGTGTCTCTCTCTCTCTCTGTCCCAGTGTGTGTGTGTCTCTCTCTCTCTGTCCCAGTGTGTGTGTGTCTCTCTCTCTCTGTCCCAGTGTGTGTGTGTCTCTCTCTCTGTCCCAGTGTGTGTGTGTCTCTCTCTCTGTCCCAGTGTGTGTGTGTCTCTCTCTCTGTCCCAGTGTGTGTGTCTCTCTCTCTCTCTCTCTCTGTCCCAGTGTGTGTGTCTCTCTCTCTCTGTCCCAGTGTGTGTGTGTCTCTCTCTCTCTGTCCCAGTGTGTGTGTGTGTCTCTCTCTCTCTGTCCCAGTGTGTGTGTGTGTGTCTCTCTCTCTCTGTCCCAGTGTGTGTGTGTGTGTGTCTCTCTCTCTCTGTCCCAGTGTGTGTGTGTGTGTCTCTCTCTCTCTGTCCCAGTGTGTGTGTGTCTCTCTCTCTCTCTGTCCCAGTGTGTGTGTGTCTCTCTCTCTCTCTGTCCCAGTGTGTGTGTGTCTCTCTCTCTCTGTCCCAGTGTGTGTGTGTCTCTCTCTCTCTGTCCCAGTGTGTGTGTGTCTCTCTCTCTCTGTCCCAGTGTGTGTGTGTCTCTCTCTCTGTCCCAGTGTGTGTGTGTCTCTCTCTCTGTCCCAGTGTGTGTGTCTCTCTCTCTCTCTCTGTCCCAGTGTGTGTGTGTCTCTCTCTCTCTGTCCCAGTGTGTGTGTGTCTCTCTCTCTCTGTCCCAGTGTGTGTGTGTGTCTCTCTCTCTCTGTCCCAGTGTGTGTGTGTGTGTCTCTCTCTCTCTGTCCCAGTGTGTGTGTGTGTGTCTCTCTCTCTCTGTCCCAGTGTGTGTGTGTCTCTCTCTCTCTGTCCCAGTGTGTGTGTGTCTCTCTCTCTGTCCCAGTGTGTGTGTGTCTCTCTCTCTGTCCCAGTGTGTGTGTGTCTCTCTCTCTCTGTCCCAGTGTGTGTGTGTCTCTCTCTCTCTGTCCCAGTGTGTGTGTGTGTCTCTCTCTCTCTGTCCCAGTGTGTGTGTGTGTGTCTCTCTCTCTCTGTCCCAGTGTGTGTGTGTCTCTCTCTCTCTGTCCCAGTGTGTGTGTGTGTGTCTCTCTCTCTCTGTCCCAGTGTGTGTGTGTGTCTCTCTCTCTCTGTCCCAGTGTGTGTGTGTGTGTCTCTCTCTCTCTGTCCCAGTGTGTGTGTGTCTCTCTCTCTCTGTCCCAGTGTGTTTGTCTCTCTCTCTCTGTCCCAGTGTGTGTGTGTCTCTCTCTCTCTGTCCCAGTGTGTGTGTGTCTCTCTCTCTCTGTCCCAGTGTGTGTGTCTCTCTCTCTCTGTCCCAGTGTGTGTGTGTCTCTCTCTCTCTCTGTCCCAGTGTGTGTGTGTCTCTCTGTCCCAGTGTGTGTGTGTCTGTCTCTCTGTCCCAGTGTGTGTGTGTGTCTCTTTGATCAAATTACTGTGATCGAATTGAAAAGTTTTGAGTAACTACAAACTTTCTGAACACTTTCTTCAGACACTTCAGACAGAGGGAGACCGGAGAGGGAGCGAGGAAGACCGGAGAGAATGAGGGAGAGGGAGCGAGGAAGACCGGAGAGAATGAGGGAGAGGGAGCGAGGAAGACCGGAGAGAATGAGGGAGAGGGAGCGAGGAAGACCGGAGAGAATGAGGGAGAGGGAGCGAGGGAGAGGGAGACCTGAGAGAGCGAGGGAGAGGGAGCGAGGGAGAGGGAGACCTGAGAGAGCGAGGGAGAGGGAGACCTGAGAGAGGGAGCGAGGGAGAGGGAGACCTGAGAGAGCGAGGGAGAGGGAGACCTGAGAGAGCGAGGGAGAGGGAGCGAGGGAGACCGGAGAGAATGAGGGAGAGGGAGACCGGAGAGAATGAGGGAGAGGGAGAGATCGAGAGCGACGGAGACCTGAGAGAGGGAGAGCGGAGGGAGGGATTTTGTACCGGTGTTGCAGACGTGACCATTGCCTCCGTGTTTAAGTGTCATGTTTGTGTTTCTCTCAGGTCGCTGCAGACATGTCGTTCAGAGGAGGAGGAGGAGGAAGAGGAGGCTTCAACAGAGGGGGAGGCAGAGGAGGAGGGGGAGGCTTCAGGGGAGGTGGGGGCCGAGGGGGAGGAGGCTTCAGGGGAGGCGGCAGAGGAGGCTTCAACAGACAGCAGGACTACGGACCCCCGGAGTACGTCGTAGGTGAGGAACCAGCGACAGGGACCTGACAAACTGGTTACGGTCAGCTCTGGTTCTCCTGGTCTGTGCAGTTTCTCTACTTCTGCAGGACCAGAGACACGAGCATTCTGACCAATCAGAGGGCAGCAAAGGGAGACAGAGGAGAGACCGATAGAGACTGGGAGGAGAGAGACTGACGGGAGAGAAAGCGAGAGGGACTGACGGGAGAGAGAAAGAGCAAGAGGGACTGACGGGAGAGAGAGAAATAGCGAGAGGGACTGACGGGAGAGAGAACGAGCGAGAGGGACTGACGGGAGAGAGAAAGAGCGAGAGGGACTGACGGGAGAGAGAACGAGCGAGAGGGACTGACGGGAGAGAGAACGAGCGAGAGGAACTGACGGGAGAGAGAAAGAGCGAGAGAGACTGACGGGAGAAAGCGAGAGAGACTGACGGGAGAGAGAGCGAGAGGGACTGACGGGAGAGAGAGCGAGAGGGACTGACGGGAGAGAGAGCGAGAGGGACTGACGGGAGAGAGAGCGAGAGGGACTGACGGGAGAGAAAGCGAGAGTGACTGACGGGAGAGAAAGCGAGAGAGACTGACAGGAGAGAGAAAGCGAGAGACTGACAGGAGAGAGAAAGCGAGAGGGACTGACGGGAGAGAAAGAGAGGGACTGACGGGAGAGAGAGCGAGAGGGACTGACGGGAGAGAGAGCGAGAGGGACTGACGGGAGAGAGCGAGAGGGACTGACGGGAGAGAGAGCGAGAGGGACTGACGGGAGAGAAAGAGAGAGTGACTGACGGGAGAGCGAGAGGGACTGACGGGAGAGAGAGTGACTGACGGGAGAGAAAGCGTGAGTGACTGACGGTAGAGAAAGCGTGAGTGACTGACGGGAGAGAGAGCGAGAGTGACTGACGGGAGAGAGAGCGAGAGTGACTGACGGGAGAGAGAGCGAGAGTGACTGACGGGAGAGAGAGCGAGAGCGACTGACGGGAGAGAGAGCGAGAGGGACTGACGGGAGAGAGAGCGAGAGGGACTGACGGGAGAGAGAGCGAGAGGGGACTGACGGGAGAGAGAGCGAGAGGGACTGACGGGAGAGAGAGCGAGAGGGACTGACGGGAGAGAGAGCGAGAGGGACTGACGGGAGAGAGAGCGAGAGGGACTGACGGGAGAGAGAGCGAGAGGGACTGACGGGAGAGAGAGCGAGAGGGACTGACGGGAGAGAGAGCGAGGGACTGACGGGAGAGAGAGCGAGAGACTGACGGGAGAGAGAGCGAGAGGGACTGACGGGAGAGACTGACGGGAGAGAGCGAGAGAGACTGACGGGAGAGAAAGAGCGAGAGGGACTGACGGGAGAGAGAGAGAGCGAGAGAGACTGACGGGAGAAAGCGAGAGGGACTGACGGGAGAGAAAGCGAGAGGGACTGACGGGAGAGAGAAAGAGCGAGAGAGACTGACGGGAGAGAGAAAGAGCGAGAGGGACTGACGGGAGAAAGCGAGAGACTGACGGGAGAGAGAAAGAGCGAGAGGGACTGACGGGAGAAAGCGAGAGACTGACGGGAGAGAGAAAGAGCGAGAGGGACTGACGGGAGGGGGAGACAGACCAGGGAGAGAGACCCAGGGAGGGGGAGAGAGACCAGGTGTGACTGCAGATTTCAGATGGTCTTCCTGGTTCCATGTCTCATGGTTGTGTCCAGGGCTGGGGGAGTTCATGCACCCGTGTGAAGATGACATCGTGTGTAAGTGTACGGCAGAGGAAAACAAAGTGCCGTACTTCAACGCTCCGGTTTATCTGGAGAACAAGGAGCAGATCGGGAAAGTGGACGAGATCTTCGGCCAGCTGCGAGACTTTGTATCCTTTGAGCTCTGCTGCTAAAAGCTGCAACCCTGGTCTCTCTCTCTGGTCTCTCTCTCTCTCTCCCCGGTCTCTCTCTCTCTCCCTGGTCTCTCTCTCCCTGGTCTCTCTCTCTCTCCCCGGTCTCTCTCTCTCTCCCTCTCTCTCTCTCCCTGGTCTCTCTCTCCCCGGTCTCTCTCTCTCTCCTAGGTCTCCCTCTCTCTCTCTCTCCGGTCTCTTTCCCCGGTCTCTCTTGTTTACTTTCCTTATCGCGCTGCTTCAGTACTTTTCAGTGAAACTCTCAGAAAACATGAAAGCTTCGTCGTTCAAGAAGCTGCAGAAGGTATTTTTGGTTTATTAACCCTCCTGTTCTGCTCTCTCGCTCTGATCTCTCTTTGGTCTCTGCCCTTTCTGGTCTCTCTCAGATCCAGCTCTCTGGTTTCTCTCTCTTGCTCGTCTGCCCCCCCTGGTATATCTCCTCTCTGCCTTCTCTCTGGTGTGTGTCTCTCTCTCCCTCTGCTCTCTCTCCCTGGTCTCTCTTCTCTCTCTCCCTGGTCTCTCTCTCTCCCTACTCTCTCTCTGCTCTCTCTCTCTGGTCTCTCTTCTCTCTCTCCCTGGTCTCTCTCTCTCCCTACTCTCTCTGCTCTCTCACGTCTCTGTTCAGATTGTGATGTTACATGTGTCTGTTTTCCAGTTCTACATTGACCCCATGAAGCTGCTGCCGCTGCAGAGGTTCCTGCCCAGACCTCCAGGAGAGAAGGGCCCTCCGCGGGGGGGCCGAGGGGGGGGGCGAGGAGGAGGCCGAGGGGGAGGCCGAGGAGGTGAGCCCGGGAACAAGGAAATCAGTATCAAAGGAGACGATCAACAATGGACACACTCTGACTGGATTCCTCTCTCTGTATCTCTCTGTGTACTCTTTCTATGGTCTCTCTGCTCTCTCTTTTTGCACTCTCTGGCTTCGCTCTCTTTCTGTGTTTGTTCTCTCTCTCTCAAAGAAGAAAAACCAGGGACGTTCAAGAGTGATCCGCTTTGGATTTCTCTGTATTTGTTAAAATGCTACTCGCCTACATCTCAAAGACCTCTTTCTGATCCAGTGTCAGAGGCGTCTGTGCACGTGGTCAGAGTCTGTGCACGTGGTCCGAGTCTGTGCACGTGGTCAGGGTCTGTGCACGTGGTCAGGGTCTGTGCACGTGGTCCGGGTCTGTGCACGTGGTCAGAGTCTGTGCACGTGGTCCGGGTCTGTGCACGTGGTCCGGGTCTGTGCACGTGGTCCGGGTCTGTGCACGTGGTCCGAGTCTGTGCACGTGGTCCGGGTCTGTGCACGTGGTTCATTGTGCATGTGTTTGACAGGTGGGTTCCGTGGAGGTCGCGGTGGAGGGTTCGGAGGAGGAGGAAGAGGAGGCGGCGGCTTTGGAGGAGGAAGAGGAGGAGGATTCAGAGGAAGAGGAGGCTTTGGAGGCGGAGGCAGAGGGTTCAGAGGTGAGATGGTTTTTACTGTAAATCTTATTAATAAACAACATTGACTGTGTTGGACCCTGGTGGACATCAAATTGTCTGCAGGAGGACCCACATTATTAATTCACATTAGCTTCACGTGTTGCCATGGTGATCACAGAAAGTAGGCAGCCTTGACTTAACCGCTAGCTTAGTGGAGTATAGCACCTTTGCTAGCACCGAAGCACAAAAACAACACAGCATCTGTACGAGTGGAATATAGCAGTGGCTCTTATTGTCGACTGTTAAAAGAATCGCTATAATGTTCATTGTTAAAGCATTTTCTCAAAGTTGAAATGAGAAATAAAACCTTTCAAATTTCTGTTGTATTAGTTTAATGAATTCCCAGAGATAACACGATGCAGTCATATTTACAGTATGTGTGCGGAACTCGTATCGGTTCAGAACAAAGTCTGTCCTCGTCCACAGGTGGGAGATGATGGCGTCTGGAGTCTGTGGCGTCTGGAGTCTGTGGCGTCTGGCGTCTGTGGCGTCTGGAGTCTGTGGCGTCTGGCGTCTGTGGCGTCTGGAGTCTGTGGCGTCTGGAGTCTGTGGCGTTTATTTTAAAGAGTGTTAATTTTGGTAGTGTGTACAGGTCATCTCACTACTGCTTTGACACGGACTGATCCTGTTTTTTATGCTCTTGGTTTATGTCGAAGATGTTTTGTTCCAAAGCCTTGAATAAAAGGTGCTTGTGATAATTCTGTCTTTATTTACAAAGTTACGTCTTGAGAAATAACATTTTTGCATTAAAGAGCCCTGGGAGTCACTATTTGACTCTTTAAAACACAAACATAATAAAATTAGTGACAAGAAAACTGCAGTTGGTGATAATGGACTCACTCTAAACACTGGGGTTAAAAACAGCTGCCCTGGGGCACACTGACAGAGGCGAGGCAACCAGTCTGTGCCATCGGCCCCTCCCACCACCACCAACCACTCACACACACACCAGACTCATTCTAATGTGGGGGAAGTGTCTTGCCTAAGGACACAACCACAGATTGGCACTTTACAGCCGCCCCACTGTGGTGCCTGCTCTTCCCAGAGGTCTCCCGTCCCAGCACTAACCAGGCCCTGCCCTGCTTGGCTTCAGGGATCTGACAGGACCTGGCTTTCACCTGCAGATGGCATCACCATAAAACAAACACATAGACTGCTTCGTGTGTGTATTTTATATTCTTAAATATTGTTTTTATTACTTTTACATGCAAGTCAATAGGAGCTAAAGAGAGACCAGAGTAGTTGTATGTGAAGCCAGAGAGATGGAGCCAGACTTCCTCAACGAGCACTTCCCTAACTGGCTAGCATTGTCTATCTGTGTACAGACTTTGTTTCGACCGTGGAGCTATATTTGTACTTTTCCATAAATGTATTGATTCATGAATGATTAAAAAAATAAAATAACGGTACTTCCGCATCCCCCGCATGCTGACTCCTGATTGGTGCAGAAGGAGCCGCCTTGAGCCCCGCCCTCCTCTCGCTCTCACGCCGCTAACATGGACACTGCTGGAAAAGTAAGACATTTCTGCTCTAAATGCATCGAAGCCTCAGCTCTGACTCCGGTTTACTCCAGACTAACGCGTGTAGAGGCGTCTGAGGAGCTGTGTCCACTCTTCTGCTGCTAATGCATGAGTGGTTTAGCTACGAATCCACAAAGAACTGTCCTAAAGTGTGCTAGCTCCAGCGGGACTGCTCTGTGTGCTTTTGGATCATTGCCACGATATGAATATTACTCTCTCACGTCTTTAACACGTGTTTTCTCTTTGTCTTCCTCCTGGCTTTGCATAAATAACGGGATCATGTTTAGCTGCTAACAACTTAACCTCAAACTACTGTAATGATTCACGTCCACAGTTTGGACATGCGCTCTTTAGATTCAGTTTATTTGCCTTTTGCAGTAAAACCACATTGGAATACACGTGCAGAAGTCTCCCAGTGTGCACCAGACAAGTACATGCATAAAACCAGCTAAAAGTACAGGAAACCAGTGTCACTGAAACCAATCAGCAAAAGAGCCATGTTCTGCCAGAGAGAAGAAGCTGGAACATGGCTTTCCCAGGGGCCAGAAGAGTCAGTGATAGTCTCTGGTCTCCCTCTCTGGTCTCTCGCTCTGCTCTCTCTCTCTGGTCTCTCTCTCTGGCCGGTCTCTCTGGTCTCTCTCTCTGGTCTCTCTCTCTGGCCGCTCTCTCTCTTCTGGTCTCTCTTTGGTCTCTCTCTCTGGTCTCTGCTTCCTTCTGCTGTAATAAAAGTGAAGCAGGATCTTTGAGTTTGAGGTAAATTCTCGAAGTTTCTGCAGAAATAGGACTCTGAAACATTTACTCTTACCTTCACTGGAGGAATCATTATGGATTATAGACATGTTTGAATGGATTCAGAAGAACCACATAAAAGGTGTGTGCGTCTCTCTCAGGTCATCACGTGTAAAGCCGCAGTGGCCTGGGAGTCTGGGAAACCTCTGTCGATCGAGGAGGTGCAGGTGGCTCCTCCCAAAGCTCACGAAGTCCGCATCAAGGTGAGAACTGGTCGCGACAGAGACTTGGTCGGTTTTGCCCAAAAGTAAAATGACTAAATCAAACAGAATAAACCACAGCAGACTTCCTGTTGTTTTGCACTGAGGAAAGAACCCTGGGAGTCATTATTTGACTTTTTGAGTCAATCTAAAGATGGAAGAGGCAGAATGTGGGTTCTTCTACCTGTCTCTTGTGTCGGTTCTGTCCCCTTTAATCATTAGCTCCTCCCCCTCAGCTGTTTGCCACCGGCGTGTGCCACACCGACGCCTACACCCTGAGCGGCAGTGACCCCGAGGGGCTGTTCCCCGTGATCCTGGGGCACGAGGGAGCGGGGACCGTGGAGAGTGTGGGGGAGGGAGTCTCCAACTTCAAACCTGGTAAAACTCACACACACACGGCTCTCTCTGGTCTCTCTCGCTGGCCTCTCTCTGATCTCTCTCTCGCTGATCTCTCTCTCTCTGGTCTCTCTCTTGTCTCTCTCTGGTCTCTCTCTGGTCTCTCTCTGGTCTCTCTCTGGTCTCTCTGTCTGGTCTCTCTCTGAACACAGTGGTCCCCTTTAACCATGTGTCTCCTCTGGTGTCCAGGAGACACGGTGGTCCCCTTGTACGTGCCCCAGTGTGGAGAATGCAAGTTCTGCAAAAACCCCAAGACCAACTTGTGTCAGAAGATCAGGTACGTGACCACACACTGGTGACCGGAGGGAGAGAGAGAGAGACCAGAGGGAGAGGAGAGAAAGAGAGAGAGAGAGTCCAGAGGTCTCTCTCTGATCAAGTTTTAAGTCCTCTGAGATACCGACTGTTGTGATTTAGAGCGATACATTTATAAATGTAATCTCTGGTTGTTCAGAGTGACGCAGGGCCAGGGCCTGATGCCTGATGGGACGTCCCGCTTCACTTGTCAGGGGAAGCAGCTGTTCCACTTCATGGGCACCAGCACCTTCTCCCAGTACACGGTGGTCGCCGACATCTCTCTGGCCAAAGTCAGCGACAAGGCTCCTCTGGACAAAGTCTGTCTGCTCGGCTGCGGCATCTCCACAGGCTACGGGGCGGCCCTCAACACGGCTAAGGTGAGGGACTCTCCGGTCTCACTCTGGTCTCTTCTATGGTCTCTTCTATGGTCTCTTCTATGGTCTCTTCTCTGGTCTCTTCTATGGTCTCCGCTCTTGTCTCTGGTCTCTCTCTCTCTGGTCTCTCCTCTGGTCTCTTTTCTGGTTACTCGCTCTAGTTTCTTCTCTGGTCTCTCCTCTGGTCTCTCCCTCTCTGTGTCTCTCTCTCGCTGGTCTCTCGCTGGTCTCTCCTGGTCTCTCCCTCTCTGTCTGTGTCTCTCCCTCTCTGGTCTCTCCCTCTCTGGTCTCTCTCTCTCTGGTCTCTCTCTCTCTGGTCTCTCTCTCTGGTCTCTCTCTGGTCTCTCTCTCTGGTCTCTCTCTCTGGTCTCTCTCTCTCTGGTCTCTCCCTCTCTGGTTTCTCCCTCTCTGGTCGCTCCCTCTCTGATCTTTCCCTCCTGGTTTCTCCCTCTCTGGTCGCTCCCTATCTGGACTATCCTCTGGTCTCTCCTTCTCTGTGTCTCTCCCTCTCTGTGTCTCTCCATTTCTGGTCTCTTCCTCTCTGGTCTCTCTTTTCTGGTCTCTCCCTCTCTGGTCTTCCTGGTCTCTCCCTCTCTGTCTGTGTCTCTCCCTCTCTGGTCTCTCTCTGGTCTCTCCCTCTCTGGTCTCTCTCTCTCTGGTCTCTCTCTCTCTGGTCGCTCCCTCTCTGGTCGCTCCCTCTCTGGTTTCTCCCTCTCTGGTCGCTCCCTATCTGGACTATCCTCTGGTCTCTCCTTCTCTGTGTCTCTCCCTCTCTGTGTCTCTCCATTTCTGGTCTCTTCCTCTCTGGTCTCTCTTCTGGTCTCTCCCTCTCTGGTCTCTCCTCTCTGGTCTCTCCCTCTCTGGTCTCTTCCTCTCTGGTCTCTTCCTCTCTGGTCTCTCCTCTCGGGTCTCTTCCTCTCTGGTCTCTTCCTCTCTGGTCTCTCCCTCTCTGGTCTCTCCCTCTCTGGTCTCTCCCTCTCTGGTCTCTCCCTCTCTGTCTGTGTCTCTCCCTCTCTGTCTGTGTCTCTCCCTCTCTGTCTGGTCTCTACTTCTCTGGTCTCTCGTCTGGTCTCTCTCTCTCTCTGGTCTCTCTCGCTCTGGTCTCTCCCTCTCTGGTCTCTCGTCTGGTCTCTCCCTCTCTGGTCTCTCGTCTGGTCTCTCTCTCTCTGGTCTCTCTCCCTCTCTGGTCTCTCCCTCTCTGGTCTTTCCCTCTCTGGTCTCTCCCTCTCTGGTCTCTCCCTCTCTGGTCTCTCCCTCTCTGGTCTCTCTCTCTCTGGTCTCTCTCCCTCTCTGGTCTCTCTCTCTCTCTGGTCTCTCCCTCTCTGGTCTCTCCCTCTCTGGTCTCTCCCTCTCTGGTCTCTCTCTCTCTCTGGTCTCTCTCCCTCTCTGGTCTCTCCCTCTCTGGTCTCTCTCTCTCTGGCTCATTCAGTCTGTGACTGGCCTGTGAAAGGTGCTATATGAATAAAGATGATTCTGTGTGACCACATGTCTGCAGGTGGAGAAGGGCTCCACGTGTGCCGTGTTCGGCCTGGGCGCCGTGGGCCTGGCTGTGATCATGGGCTGCAAAGTGGCGGGCGCCTCCCGGATCATCGGCGTGGACATCAACCCGACCAAGTTCCCTAAGGCCAAAGAGTTCGGGGCCACGGAGTGTGTGAACTCGGCCGAGCAGGACCGGCCAATCCAGGAAGTGCTGGTCGAGCTGACGGACGGCGGCGTCGACTACTCCTTTGAGTGCATCGGGAACGTGCACGTTATGGTGAGAACGTGCACGTTATGGTGAGAGCGTGCACGTGATGGCGTGAGCGTGCACGGGATGGCACAAGCGTGCACGTGATGGCGAGAGCGAGCCCGTGATGGCGAGAGCGAGCACTCACCATTATCAAAGACACATGTCACACACTAACCATGTACTTCACTGTCAGGTCTCCCATCACTGGACTAACCATGTACTTCACTGTCAGGTCTCCCATCACTGGACTAACCATGTACTTCACTGTCAGGTCTCCCATCACTGGACTAACCATGTACTTCACTGTCAGGTCTCCCATCACTGGACTAACCATGTACTTCACTGTCAGGTCTCCCATCACTGGACTAACCATGTACTTCACTGTCAGGTCTCCCATCACTGGACTAACCATGTACTTCACTGTCAGGTCTCCCATCACTGGACTAACCATGTACTTCACTGTTAGGTCTCCCATCACTGGACTAACCATGTACTTCACTGTCAGGTCTCCCATCACTGGACTAACCATGTACTTCACTGTTAGGTCTCCCATCACTGGACTAACCATGTACTTCACTGTCAGGTCTCCCATCACTGGACTAACCATGTACTTCACTGTCAGGTCTCCCATCACTGGACTAACCATGTACTTCACTGTCAGGTTGAGACTAAAACTTGATGAAGTTAAAATAATAAGTCCATAAAATCTGACTCTACCACAATAAAAACACATCAGCCTCAGGATCAAGACCAGGAAAGCACCAGGTGTCTTTGTTTCCTCAACCATGAGGATCACTTCCTCTACATCAACCATGTGGATCACGTTGTCTACATCAACCATGTGGATCACTTTCTCTACATCAACCATGTGGATCACGTTGTCTACATCAACCATGTGGATCACTTTCTCTACATCAACCATGTGGATCACGTTCTCTACATCAACCATGTGGATCACTTTCTCTACATCAACCATGTGGATCACTTTCTCTACATCAACCATGTGGATCATCTACATCAACCATGTGGATCACTTTCTCTACATCAACCATGTGGATCACTTTCTCTACATCAACCATGTGGATCACGTTCTCTACATCAACCATGTGGATCACGTTTACTCTACATCAACCATGTGGATCACTTTCTCTACATCAACCATGTGGATCACTTTCTCTACATCAACCATGTGGATCACTTTCTCTACATCAACCATGTGGATCACTTTCTCTACATCAACCATGTGGATCACTTTCTCTACATCAACTTAAGTTAGTAACTGAAATCTACCTCTGTCTCAGCACTTTAACCACAAACGGTATCTCAACCAGAGGTACCTGTGTCCTGAGGCCCGGTACCTGTGTCCTGAGGCCCGGTACCTGTGGTCTCAGAGGCCCGGTACCTGTGTGCTGACGCTGGTACCTGTGCTCTCAGAGGGCGGCCCTGTGTGCTGACGCTGGTACCTGTGCTCTGAGGCCCGGTACCTGTGTGCTGACGCTGGTACTTGTGCTCTCAGAGGCCCGGTACCTGTGTGCTGACGCTGGTACCTGTGCTCTCAGAGGGCGGCCCTGTGTGCTGACGCTGGTACCTGTGCTCTGAGGCCCGGTACCTGTGTGCTGACGCTGGTACCTGTGCTCTGAGGCCCGGTACCTGTGTGCTGACGCTGGTACCTGTGCTCTGAGGCCCGGTACCTGTGTGCTGACGCTGGTACCTGTGCTCTCAGAGGCCCGGTACCTGTGTGCTGACGCTGGTACCTGTGCTCTCAGAGGGCGGCCCTGTGTGCTGACGCTGGTACCTGTGCTCTGAGGCCCGGTACCTGTGTGCTGACGCTGGTACCTGTGCTCTCAGAGGCCCGGTACCTGTGTGCTGACGCTGGTACCTGTGCTCTGAGGCCCGGTACCTGTGTGCTGACGCTGGTACCTGTGCTCTCAGAGGGCGGCCCTGTGTGCTGACGCTGGTACCTGTGCTCTGAGGCCCGGTACCTGTGTGCTGACGCTGGTACCTGTGCTCTCAGAGGCCCGGTACCTGTGTGCTGACGCTGGTACCTGTGCTCTCAGAGGGCGGCCCTAGAGGCGTGTCACAAAGGCTGGGGAGAGAGCGTGATCATCGGAGTGGCAGGGTCCGGACAAGAGATCAGCACTCGACCGTTTCAGCTGGTCACAGGAAGAGTCTGGAAGGGAACGGCCTTTGGAGGTGCTTTTCTCTCTCTGGTTTCTCTCTCTGGTCTCTCTCTGGTTTCTCTCTCTGGTCTCTCTCTCTGGTCTCTCTCTGGTCTCTCTCTGGTCTCTCTCTGGTCTCTCTCCCTGGTCTCTCTCTCTGGTCTCTCTCTGGTCTCTCTCTGGTCTCTCTCCTGGTCTCTCTCTCTGGTCTCTCTCTGGTCTCTCTCTCTGGTCTCTCTCTCTGGTCTCTCTCTCTGGTCTCTCTCTCTGGTCTCTCTCTCTCTGGTCTCTCTCTCTGGTCTCTCTCTCTGGTCTCTCTCTCTCTGGTCTCTCTCTCTGGTCTCTCTCTCTGGTCTCTCTCTCTCTGGTCTCTCTCTCTGGTCTCTCTCTCTGGTCTCTCTCTGGTCTTTCTTTGTTTTTTCTCTCTGGTCTCTTCCTCTACACAAACACACACACAGATGCACACATGTACACACACAGTGACATACAGACACACACACACACACACACAGTGACATACAGACACACACACACACACAGAGTAACAGTGACACACATACACACACACACAGAGAGTAACAGTGTGTGTGCTCAGGCTGGAAGAGTGTGGAGAGCGTTCCCAAACTGGTGGAGGATTATCTGAGCCAGAAGCTGAAGGTGGATGAGTTCGTGACCCACTCTCTGCCGTTCGATCAGATCAACCAGGGCTTCGACCTCATGCACTCCGGAGAGAGGTCAGACCCCCCCTCCTCTAACCCCAGCCTGAAGGTCTCTCTGGCCTCTGTTTTTGCATGTTCTTCCTGTGTCTGCATAGTTTCACTTTTGTGTTTTCAAACTCTTTTAGTTCGTTTAGTGTTTTTAATCCATAACCTTCAATCCCCCAGTCCCTTGTGTCTTTGAACAGAACTTTAAAATAATAAGACAAAGTATTTAATCTTTTGTAAACTCTGGATGTTTTTATCCAGAGTTCTCAGTAAATCACAATTGTGCTTTTATCACAGTGACACTCCTGCGTCACATGTTTACATCAAATAACCACTAGTGTAGTTTTATTTTGAGTCGCTGGTCTCCCTCTGGTCTCCCTCTGGTCTCTCTCTTTGGTCTCTCTCTCTGGTCTCTCTCTGGTCTCTCTCTCTGGTCTCTCTCTGGTCTCTCTCTGGTCTCTCTCTTTGGTCTCTCTCTCTGGTCTCTCTCTCTGTCTCTCTCTGGTCTCTCTCTGGTCTCTCTCTCTGGTCTCTCTCTGGTCTCTCTCTCTGGTCTCTCTCTCTGGTCTCTCTCTCTGGTCTCTCTCTCTCTCTGGTCTCTCTCTCTGGTCTCACTCTCTGGTCTCTCTCTCTGGTCTCTCTCTCTGGTCTCTCTCTCTGGTCTCTCTCTGGTCTCTCTCTCTGGTCTCTCTCTGGTCTCTCTCTCTGGTCTCTCTCTCTGGTCTCTCTCTCTGGTCTCTCTCTCTCTGGTCTCTCTCTCTGGTCTCTCTCTCTCGTCTCTCTCTCTGGTCTCTCTCTCTGGTCTCTCTCTCTGGTCTCTCTCTCTGGTCTCTCTCTCTGGTCTCTCTCTCTGGTCTCTCTCTCTGGTCTCTCTCTGGTCTCTCTCTTTGGTCTCTCTCTCTGGTCTCTCTCTGGTCTCTCTCTCTGGTCTCTCTCTGGTCTCTCTCTCTGGTCTCTCTCTGGTCTCTCTCTCTGGTCTCTCTCTGGTCTCTCTCTCTGGTCTCTCTCTCTCTCTGGTGTCTCTCTCTGGTCTCTCTCTCTGGCCTCTCTGGTCTCTCTCTCTGGTCTCTCTCTCTGGTCTCTCTCTCTGGTCTCCCTCTCTGGTCTCTCTCTCTGGTCTCTCTCTCTGGTCTCTCTCTCTGGTCTCTCTCTCTGGTCTCTCTCTCTGGTCTCTCTCTCTGGTCTCTCTCTCTGGTCTCTCTCTCTGGTCTCTCTCTCTGGTCTCTCTCTCTGGTCTCTCTCTCTGGTGTCTCTCTCTGGTCTCTCTCTCTGGTCTCTCTCTCTGGTCTCTCTCTCTGGTCTCTCTCTCTGGTCTCTCTCTGGTCTCTCTCTCTGGTCTCTCTCTCTGGTCTCTCTCTCTGGTCTCTCTCTCTGGTCTCTCTCTGGTCTCTCTCTGGTCTCTCTCTCTGGTCTCTCTCTCTGGTCTCTCTCTCTGGTCTCTCTCTCTGGTCTCTCTCTCTGGTCTCTCTCTGGTCTCTCTCTGGTCTCTCTCTCTGGTCTCTCTCTGGTCTCTCTCTCTGGTCTCTCTCTGGTCTCTCTCTCTGGTCTCTCTCTGGTCTCTCTCTGGTCTCTCTCTCTGGTCTCTCTCTCTGGTCTCTCTCTGGTCTCTCTTTCACCCCTGTCATAAACCAGGGACCAGTGTATTCTATATCTAGCTCATATTTAGGACTGAGTCGTTTGTGTTTGTGTCTGCAGCATCCGCACCGTGCTGAAGTTCTGAAGTCCCTGACGGACCCTGGTCCCGGCCTTCTCTGACCATACAGCCCTTCTGTCTCTGTAACATTCAGTGTTGATCAGTTTTCTAACCTTGAACACAGTAAACTCATGTGAAAATTGCACTTGTGGTTTTTTGTCTCAATGTGTTGTTGTTTGATGAAGAGAGTTCAAAGTGAAGTCTGTAGGTCTGGCTCATGGGAAATGTTTTTAATAAAAACTAGTTTCACAACATTAAGGCTGCAGTTAAAGATAAACCTCATCAAATAAAGTCAGAGCAGAGACTTTTGATAATGACTTTTGTCAGGAGATAGATTTCTTTGATCATCACGAGTCATCACTTTGTTTCATTATGAAAACCTGTGGCTTCATGTGTGGCCATTTTGTCGACAGAATGTAGCTGTGGCTCAGATACAGGTGCTTAAACCCAGGCCTTCATCATCAGGAGCACTAGTGCATCTATCGGCCCTCATTTATGAAACCTGCGTACGGCCAAAGTAGGGTCTAAATGAGGCGTACGAATTTCTTTTTTAAACACTTTTCTGCATTTATCGACCTGGAAGTGAGCGTACGGTTCAACATACACAGTCTGGAGGTGGTGTACATTTTACACTCATCAAACTTCAACACAACACGCAAATATAGGCACACCTCTCACATTACAAATGCGATTTTACAAAGGCATGTTCGGGCTATGCTGATAGGTTGTGTTATTATTAAATAATGTGCAAGACTCAAGTCTCTCACAAATGTGTGGATTGTGTGTAGACCCATGTGGGTCCAAGCAAAGACGCCTCCAGAGGGCGCTGCGCGGGTCTGATCAGATGAACATGGCTCTGGGACATGCAGGGGGTACCTCTGGTAGCTCCTGGTACAAGTGTGCCACATGGTGCTGGCTCGATCCTCCACAACAGGCACAGGACCACGGTGTGAGGATGGAGCAGCCCATGGATGAGACCTGGCCTTTGGCCTGTACAGCTTAGACCGACTCTCATCCAACCATCTTAAAATAATCACAAATAATTTGAAGATCATTTTATTACCTCTGCTCCTGTGACAAAGTGCTGTTGCATTTTTTAACAACTATTGTTGGTTACTTTTAGAATTATGCATTTGTTTTGTTTGTTTCTGCTGATACAGGACACCTGTACTTCTACAGTATCGTGAATGTATTCATGTGTAAGTGCGTGTTGAAAATAAAAAATATAATTGAAAAATATAAACATAATTCCAAATAGACCTAATGTAGCATCGAGGGAAAGGTCTTACTGCCACTGGACATCACTCACACCAACTGCAACGCCACTATTGTTTATGTAAGGTATAGACCCAATTTCTCCCGCAAATAAAAGGACACAGGCGAGCGCATGATGCAGTGGTTTGGAGAGGGACAGTACCTGCGGCACAGCCCTTTCATACGCTGCTCACCTCTGCTAAATCAATAAAAACAGGTGGACAGTAGACCACACTGCTACACTAATATTGTAATAAAGATACCAATAATTATTATTGTAACCTTCCACTTTGTCTGTTGGCTGAGCTGCGCATGCGCCGTACAGGAGCTCACCTGCCGCTGCGTTTCTTTGATTACAGCTGTGTTTTTACTCTATTCTCATAAGTCAAAGGTTTGCGAAGATGGCGACAGCTCTGGTGGTGAGTGTGTCTCTGCACACGACACTACACCCACTTTGTGCCATATTATCTCATTTATTTAGCTTGAATCTGTTTCAAGAGCGAACTCCAGCTGTTCCCGTCAGCAGCGTCACTGACCTTTAAAGTCCGTTAGACTAAACTTTACAGGACATTAAAATAGTTTCCGAAATAAACTGAGTAACGAAGGTAAATGTGGGAACATGTGGACCCCCGGGGCTGAGGCCGTGTGGACCCCCGGGGCTGAGGCCGTGTGGACCCCCGGGGCTGAGGCCGTGTGGACCCCCGGGGCTGAGGCCGTGTGGACCCGGGGCTGAGGCCGTGTGGACCCCCGGGGCTGAGGCCGTGTGGACCCCCGGGGCTGAGGCCGTGTGGACCCGGGGCTGAGGCCGTGTGGACCCCCGGGGCTGAGGCCGTGTGGACCCCCGGGGCTGAGGCCGTGTGGACCCCCGGGCTGAGGCCGTGTGGACCCGAGGCTGAGGCCGTGTGGACCCCCGGGGCTGAGGCCGTGTGGACCCCCGGGGCTGAGGCCGTGTGGACCCGGGGCTGAGGCCGTGTGGACCCGGGGCTGAGGCCGTGTGGACCCCGGGCTGAGGCCGTGTGGACCCGAGGCTGAGGCCGTGTGGACCCGGGCTGAGGCCGTGTGGACCCGGGGCTGAGGCCGTGTGGACCCGGGCTGAGCCGTGTGGACCCGGGGCTGAGGCCGTGTGGACCCGGGGCTGAGGCCGTGTGGACCCGGGCTGAGGCCGTGTGGACCCGAGGCGAGCTGAGGCCGTGTGGACCCCCGGGCTGAGGCCGTGTGGACCCCCGGGGCTGAGGCCGTGTGGACCCCCGGGGCTGAGGCCGTGTGGACCCCCGGGGCTGAGGCTGTGGCCGTGTGGACCCCGGGCTGAGGCCGTGTGGACCCCCGGGGCTGAGGCCGTGTGGACCCCCGGGGCTGAGGCCGTGTGGACCCCCGGGGCTGAGGCCGTGTGGACCCCCGGGGCTGAGGCCGTGTGGACCCCCGGGGCTGAGGCCGTGTGGACCCCCGGGGCTGAGGCCGTGTGGACCCGGGGCTGAGGCCGTGTGGACCCGGGCTGAGGCCGTGTGGACCCGAGGCTGAGGCCGTGTGGACCCGGGCTAGGCTGTGGACCCGTGGCTGAGGCCGTGTGGACCCGGGGCTGAGGCCGTGTGGACCCGGGGCTGAGGCCGTGTGGACCCGAGGCTGAGGCCGTGTGGACCCGGGGCTGAGGCCGTGTGGACCCCCGGGGCTGAGGCCGTGTGGACCCCCGGGGCTGAGGCCGTGTGGACCCGGGGCTGAGGCCGTGTGGACCCGGGGCTGAGGCCGTGTGGACCCCCGGGGCTGAGGCCGTGTGGACCCCCGGGGCTGAGGCCGTGTGGACCCCCGGGGCTGAGGCCGTGTGGACCCCCGGGGCTGAGGCCGTGTGGACCCCCGGGGCTGAGGCCGTGTGGACCCCCGGGGCTGAGGCCGTGTGGACCCGGGGCTGAGGCCGTGTGGACCCGGGGCTGAGGCCGTTGATGAGAAATGACAAAGCAGCGACGATTGCAGCTGAAACACATTAAATTTCTCCTTTCTAGTCCTTTCAGATCGTAGAAAGAGACAGTGCTTTTTATATGAGTTGATTATATGTGCATAAGAACAGAGACGTAATCACAGAAATATAGATGGCTCTGCTTAAGATGTAGATCTATATCTATATGTAGTCTAATGTGGCCTGAACAAATGCTTTCAGTTCTTCAGATAATGTTTTAGCAGTTTTAATGTGAAAATGAGACCAGAGTTGATCTGTGCTGACAAAGATTGGCCTCGAACCTTTAAAGTCGTATAATATTTATATAATGTATATAATGTATACACAGGCTTCACTTTCTCAGAACACCCATAACACTCAGCGGCGCCATCTTGTGTGTCCGGCTGTGCCACTGACCTCTCTAATCTCATATCAAGATTATTGGTGTATACCATCGGACCATGTGGAGTAAACCAGTTCGTACCATTTAATGAAACCTGTTGAACTTTGTGTGTTTTTTGTCTCAGGTTTCCTCCACTGTTCCTGCAACTCGCCAGAAAGAGAAATGTGAAAAAGCTGTCCCCAAAGTCCTGGGTGCCGAGGCGTACATAAAGCATCCACTGCAGAATAGGTTTGTTCAACAGAAGACTGCAGCGATAACTTATTACTTCTGTCTGTTTTTCTGCCATATGGTCAGAATCGGAGACTTTTCTCCATGTTGACTTGTTAAGATGAACTAGTTTGATAACTGAGTTTCTGCTGCGTCTTCACTGGCGATCAGGTGGAAGACCAGCAGTGGAACTAAACTCGCACACCAATATAGACTTTTAGGACGAACAGTGATTCTATTTTAAATGTGTTTTATAATATTGGACTCTGTAGAGTGAATGGGTCAGCAGGGCTTGGAACCAGAGGGACAAACATCACAGCAGTCGTTATAAACCTGCACACCCACACTTGACATTTGATTTGATCGACTAACATTTTCTAAAATCTTAACTGGCAAAAACAACAAACTCCTTTTCTGGCACCAAACATTTCCAGTGAAGAGAGATGGGGGATTGGACCAACGAGCCCTTTTACTTTTTGTTCAGAAAAAAAGGTTTTAATAGTAAATTGAAAGCAACGTTTAGCTTGAGCCCAAAGGTCTGATTATTTTGGATTAATAAAATCTACATTTATTTCCTTTTCCTGTCCCTCTGGCTCCGATTGTGTGAGGTCTTTGTTTTGCTTTATCCCTATGACAGGTGAACTCTGTCATATAAGATGGATGTATTTGAAATAAAGTGACTTCTCCTTTGCCTTTCTGCAGATGGGCCCTTTGGTTTTTCAAGAATGACAAAAGTAAGACGTGGCAGGCCAACCTCCGGCTCATCTCCAAGTTCCACACTGTAGAGGACTTCTGGGCGTGAGTGGTTTTCTCATACACTGGTCCCTCGTTTATCCCCAGAGTAACTTTGTTTTATATCTGTGGTCTTAAACATGTGGCCTGTGGAAAGGTTGTGGCAGTTTAATGTCAGCGCAGCCCCCACAGAGTCTGGGCCATGGCATGTTCTACATGGTTTTAAACCACAACATTTATAAAACCATAGATGTTGTTCAGCCTGCAGTCTAAAACACTTTGTCTCAAAGAAGCTGCTCTCATTTTGTTCGTCGACATATATTGAGTTGTATCTATTTGTATCTGATGCAAATATTCAATGAATCAAAGTCCTTAAAGACCTTATGCAGGGTTTGATTGATTTAGAAATACAGTTTTAATACCATTTTATATTAGAAGAAAACTACTAAAGGTTTCAAAATTATTATTATATTTTTTTGTCTTCTCCCCCAAATCGAGATTAAACCATAGCAACACCCTCAGAAACGAAAAGAATTCACAGCCTCTTCTCCCTTGGTGACGTTTCAACCGGCTGCAAGTTGTTTACTATTTGGTCTTTTTTCACGGATATTCAAGATGACAAGGCGGTGTACAGTGAATATGGCGCTGTGATAGCCCAGTGGGTGTGTCAATGCACTAGCATCTCAGTAACTGGGGTTACTGAGATACATTTTTTGGCCCATTAGTTAGAACGGCGGAGATAGGCGTGACTCTGTCCGTTAATATATACAGTCTATGGGTTACCCGTGATGACGTCACACACAGGTTAGAGCATAGACAACTAAAATTCATTAAAAAGACATTTTTATAAAGGATTTTTTTTGCCAGAATCTTTTTCAGATTGACATTAATGAACTGTCTTGCAATTTTGATATCCACAATTTAAAAAAAACCCTGCATAAGGTCTTTAAATCCTAAGCACTGTCCACAGCTTCTTTCCACAAACGCTTGATTTTCCTGTTTTTGTCTTAAGTACACATTTTTATTTATACTTTCACATGAGAAAAGACTGGACAGTTTGACTCTTGGATTTGTATCAGCCTAGGAGCTAAACGGCAGGTAATGTGTTCAGTTATCTGCCTGTGCATCATGTCCGTTTGTCTCCACACACAAACCCATGATGAAAACACCTCTCTGATGTGTCTTTAATGTGTCCCTGATCTCCACACACAAACCCATGATAAACACCTCTCTGATGTGTCTTTAATGTGTCCCTTATCTCCACACACAAACCCATGATAAACACCTCTCTGATGTGTCTTTAATGTGTCCCTTATCTCCACACACAAACCCATGATGAAAACACCTCTCTGATGTGTATTTAATGTGTCCCTGACCTTTGCTCCTCTGTCCAGACTGTACAACCACATTCAGCTGTCCAGTAACCTCGTGTCCGGCTGCGACTACTCCCTGTTTAAGGTGAGAGCAGACAAATCCAAACTCATGGTCTCAATGGGAAACGACAAAGGATGAAATGTGTCATTCTGCATCGTGAACAGGATCTTGTAAATCTTTAGCATTCAGTGTTTTAGAATATGAAGAATACATCAGTATCTAAACATAGTGCGTATATTAGGAGTGGACTGAGTGCGACATCACCATAGTGTTTTTGAACAGAAGCTGGAACCCGTTTCTTCTGATGGGGTTGGCAACGTTCTGTGACGGGGGAGGCCGGTGTTCTGTCGAGTTGCACTGCCTCAGCTGTTTATGATGTAATGCAAACCTGTGCATGGTCGTTTCACGGCAGCCGAAACCATCAAGACATTCTTGTCCTTATTAGTTCGTATTTAAACTTTTTACACAATTCAGAGCATGCACAGGTTTGCATTACATCATAAACAGCTGAGGCGGCGCAACTCGACAGAACACCGGGATGTCAAGTCCTATTTGGAGAGTCTTAAACCATAGATTTTTTTATTTTTATTATCCAAAATAATAATAAAATCCAGAGCATGAGAAGGAAATCAGCTTAAAGTGATTGTCTGGAGTTTGTCAGAAAAGAGGTACAAAAACGACCCAAGCTCCTCCCCCTTCCTTTCTGATTGGTCTACACATTTAAATGTTAATCGAAGAACACATTATACATATACATTATTAATACACATGCACGGAGGTTTTCAGAATTATCTGTTCGCGTTTTCATGACAAATGTTTTAATGCGGGTAAAAAAAAGTGATCTCTGTAAACCCGGAAGCAGCTATTAAAATTGATTGAACATTTTAGGAACCTCTGCAGAGGATCTGATTATAGATATAGGTTCATATATAAATGATTATGGATATAGGTTCATATATAAATGATTATGGATATAGGGTCAGTATATAAATGATTATGGATATAGGTTCAGTATATAAATGATTATGGATATAGGTTCATATATAAATGATTATGGATATAGGTTCAGTATATAAATGATTATGGATATAGGTTCATATATAAATGATTATGGATATAGGTTCAGTATATAAATGATTATGGATATAGGTTCAGTATATGATTATGGATATAGGTTCAGTATATAAATGATTATGGATATAGGTTCATATATAAATGATTATGGATATAGGTTCATATATAAATGATTATGGATATAGGTTCAGTATATAAATGATTATGGATATAGGTTCAGTATATAATAGAGGCTTGATTCTGAGGCTCCGTGAAAACAAACTGAGCATGAGCAGCTGCGAGCATCAGCGCCGATGAGTGACAGCCCTTGGCATGACTCGATTGGTTAACGTGGACGGCATCGTGGATTCTGAACTATAGCTAAGAGAAGGGAAGGCGGGACTTACCCGTAATATTAGAATTAATAAAATGACTTATTTTTTATCAAAATTTAAGGCCAGGAGGTCAATATAATACAATTCTTAAAATTAGAAATTAATTTAGAGTTCCAGACTATCACTTTAAAAAAAAACATTGGTTCTTTTTTTAGTCTTTGCATTTCCTGTGTTCGAACAGTGCCTGACATGACTGTTGAATTGAACTGAGTCACAATATGGCCCTCAATATAACTCAGGAATCAAAACACATTATACTACATTGGCCAGAATGCACAAGTGACACAAAGGCAGTCTCAAAGATGTCTCCTCAAACATTTCCTTTAGGCAGAGGTCCCATGGACCTGTGATCAAATACAAAGGTTTTAAGTGTTTGAGTTCCTGTCGCGCTGTGGGAAGAGGAGTTGGTCCAGAGTCTAACACTGTCTTCATGTATCTGCAGGATGGTATTGAACCCATGTGGGAGGACGAGAGGAACCGCAGAGGAGGCCGCTGGCTCATCACTCTGTCCAAGCAGCAGCGAAAGGCGGACCTGGACCGCTTCTGGCTCGAGACGGTAGATGCCACACGTCCTCACGATTCAGTGAAATGAAGGGTTTAAGATTGAAGTCAGAATGTGCTGTTGATCATGCCATCTAAACCTCAACGCCCACATTATCCATTCTGCTGAGGAGAAACCATCTAATAACTAAGTACATATGCATAGTTTCATTGGGCCCACCTTCAGTTTTCATGTAACATTCTAATGTATTGGTAAAGCTGTGGTACAGGAAGATGACCATTAAAACATGTGACTTTGCATTGAGTCTGAATCAAGTCAGTTCCACAGAAATGTATAGAATGGATCAGTTGAATCAGATCCGTAAGTGATTGTAGGGGTATTTAACCATGCTAAGATAGCTTAAATTGAGTAGAATAACGTTCTGTCTGCTCTCACAGATGCGTGCGTAATTCTAAGGGTGAATTTTAATTAGACCTAGTTTAGGGGAAGGAGGATGAAAAATGGGCACCAGTCTGTTTTCAAAGACGTTAAGATCTAATAAAAAATGCATTCTCTCAGTCTCACTACTCTGTAGGCTTGTAGCTTTAAAGCCGCCAGGGAATTTATGTAACTGTAAAGGTAATAACTGGAAGATGATAGCGAACTTAGCTTTGGTTTAGTAACTCAACGGTCAAGTTATAAAACGGAACACGATAGGCACTTGTTGGGTCACAATCCAGTATCAAATGTTTGCACCAAGTCAGACATCAGTGTCAAACCAGCTCCTTACTATGGCTGACGTTGGATGGGATCGCGTCGTGGTTGAAGAAACAGAAACAGATGATGGGAATCCTTAGTCCTGAGAAGCTCTTTCTGGGCATGATGCTTTTGGCCCGGAATGAGTGAGCGTGGACTTCGTGGGACGGGAGTGAGGAGAGGTCCTGATCGTGGGCCGCTGTAAGACCAGCTTACGTTTTGGGTATAGGAAAAGGAAGGAAGGAGGAGATGGATGGCCAAGAAAGAAGTGCTCGCTCCAGGTTCGCGGATGCTTTTTGAACCAGTCTCTAGGGGGTGTGGCTTGCGGGTCTCCACTTCCGCACACGCATTTCAGCTTAGCCGAAGGGCATGGCTGCTTCGGACCATTACAACACAATACATGCAAATTCAGCAACAGATGAATCAAAACAGTCATGTTTAAGGATGCAGCCCGGTGTGAGACTTTTGGCCTCCCCTACATGTTTGTTTATATAGTGCATTTTACAATTGTTCAGAGTTCAGATAGTTTTCCATTCTCCACACACGGTGATGAAGTAAAGGATCAGTGTAAAATCTTATTCAAGAACTTGCCATTTGCAGTTAAACCACTTTGAGTCCAGCTTTATGGAACTACTCACCGCAGCTGAAGTTAAAGTCCTCAGAATAAAAGGTGTGTCTGTGCAGCTGCTGTGTCTGGTGGGAGAAGCGTTTGACGACTACAGCGACGACGTCTGCGGAGCAGTCATCAACGTCCGCGCCAAAGGAGACAAGATCGCCATCTGGACTACGGACTACGAGAATCGAGAGGCCGTCACTCACATCGGGTGAGGCCCACGCTCCTCTGGCACTTAGCATGAGGCCTGTTGCCATAGCAACACCTGTGACTAACATTAGGCAGTCTTTGGTTCTAACGCGGTCTTCATTTGGTGTGTGTATAAAGCGAGGGCTGTAGCCCAGGTGTTTAGGCCCCGTCCCAAACTAACCCTTGCCCTTTGCTGGTGAGGGCACTCACACCTAAGTGCCTTCCCAGTGGGGAGTGCACTCACAACATTCTCCCTAAAGCCTAGTGTATACTTGCGCGGCGTGGCTTACGTTAGCGGTTGCGGTGGACCTACGTAAGCACAATTGATGTGAGGCGATCACACAGGAGCGGTCCCATTTACGCTGCTACTTTGTCCTCTTCAGAACAACAATAACAAACAAAGCTGTTTGAGCTCATTACACGTGTTTCTACTGTAGGTTTATGTGATAGTTTTATGGATTCATTATTTTATAAGTCATTTCAACTGTGACGCTGTGAATAAAGACACAGTTCTTGTTGGAAACAGTTATTATTAAATAGTTTTCAGCACAAACAGCAAAACAATAATAGTGGTACATTTTTGATAGCACCTTTTAGGATGGACAAGCAAATTAATTCAGTAATCAAAGCCAGCTTTTATCAGCTCCGGGTCTTGAGCAAAGTGAAGGCTTACATCCCACCGACTGACTTTGAGCGAGTTATCCACCTTTTTATTTCTTCAAGATTAGATTACTGCAACTCGTTGTATTGTGGTCTGGACCTGGGCTCTTTAAAGCGCCTTCAGCAGGTGCAGAATGCTGCTGCTCGCTTACTCACAGGGACAAGTAAGAGAGAGCACATCACCCCCGTGCTGGCCTCACTTCACTGGCTCCTGTTACTTTCAGGGTTGATTTTAAGATTCTGATGCTTGTTTTTAAATGTTTGAATGGTTTGGCCCCTGTATATCTGTCGGAGCTGTTATCTTTGTATGCTCCGGTCAGATCAGTGCGGTCCGAAAACCAGATGTTGTTGAATGTGCCCCGGTCTCGTCTCAAAACCGAGCCTTTTCTGTTGCTGCCCCCAAACTGTGGAATAGTCTACCTCTGTTCATCAGAGCAGCTCCTTCATTGGAAGTTTTAAAGTCTAGTTTAAAGACACATTTTTACACCTTGGCTTTTAACACCAATTGAGGTTTTACCACTTTACTTTTACATGTATGTGTATGTATTTTATACAGTATATATATATATTTTTTCATTCGTGCCTGGGCAGCTGGTGTTGTTGTAAATGTGCTATATAAATAAAGTTGACATTGACATTGGTAAGTATCTGAGACAAACATGAACGATTTACGAGTGCAGGAGGAAAGCAACAAACGCAGCTACGATTCAAACAAGACAGGAACAGTGCAAAACAAACGACTGCAGTTGTATATACTGTATGTTCGATAGTCCACAGTCTCCTGTATATCAGGCTCTGAGCCCAAACTGCTTTTCCTTCGAAGCACAAAGCTCTCTGCTCCATAGTGCCTCCTCCATGTCCCTGCTGCAGCCGCTCCGTGCTTCCTTCCAGTACACACACACGGACCAATCACAGCGGAGATTCCTTGCGGCGACCTTTACGTAGTTAGAAAATTTCGATGCTGCGCGGCAGGCGACGTAAGGGCCTTGCGGTGACCAACGCGTTGCGCAAGTGACGTCACGTCACCTCCGTAAGCGCCGCGCGAGTATACACTAGGCTTTAAGCCTAAGAATTGGGACACCCCTGGATCTAGGGGACAATATGCAAGTGACGCAGCAGACGTGTTCCAGTCACACACATGATCAAAGTGTGTGATTTCACCACAGATGAGATCTGACACAGATATGACTTTATGAAACAGTATTTATTAAAATGAGACCTTATTAATTAATAATGAAGATTTGCTATAATTAGGTACAGAACTGATGCACATCACGCACACACACGCATATGTACACACACAGAGCCAGACACACACGCACACACAGACACACATGTACACATACAGAGACAGACGCATATGTACAAACGCAGAGACAGACACACACGCACACACACACACATGTACACATACAGAGACAGACGCATATGTACAAACGCAGAGACAGACACACACGCACACACAGACACACATGTACACATACAGAGACAGACGCATATGTACAAACGCAGAGACAGACGGGCACATACACGTACGCGCACAGATATGTACCACACAGAGACAGACGGGTACAGCCGCAGATCACAAAGTAAACTGCGTCAAAGCGATGCTCTGAACTACATCATGGATCTATAATAATAACATGGATCTATAATAATAACATGGATCAATAATAATAACATGGATCTATAATAATATCATGGATCTATAATAATATCATGGATCTATAATAATATCATGGATCTATAATAATAACATGGATCTATAATAATAACATGGATCTATAATAATATCATGGATCTATAATAATAACATGGATCTATAATATCATGGATCTATAATAATAACATGGATCTATAATAATAACATGGATCTATAATAATAACATGGATCTATAATAATAACATGGATCTATAATAATAACATGGATCTATAATAATAACATGGATCTAAAATAACATGGATCTATAATAACATGGATCTATAATAATAACATGGATCGACGTCTCTGAAGCCTCAGTGAACGCCACACACTGCGGCCGCTTCGGGAGCGAACGTCACCGCACACGTCACCGCACACGCTTTATAAACTAACTCGCACACGCATTGGAGCTTGCTCATGTTCTGCACAAACTTGTGCGTGGGTGTTTCATGTTTTCTTTCATTGTGGCGCGGCTTTGCCCGACTGCTGCTTTACCAACAACTATCGTAATGCATCATGGGATCACGCTCGCAAGTGAGCTCCGGACTCACTTGCGCTCAAGGGTGGTTTTTAGGGGTGTGAAGGCCCTCGCCTCTTCTCCCTAAGTATTGGGACACCCTTCCACTCGAGCGAGCACTCTAGGGCAAGTGTGCTTTTTAAGGGCAGGGGTGAGAATTGGGACGGGGCCTTAGTGCCATAGTTTTCTGAAAGAACATAGTTAAAGCTTATGAGGTCCTTTCTGCCCTTGTCTTTCTCTAGCGAGTTAGAAACATGGAGACTGATGCCGTACTGCTGACACACAGTACGAGTCAGGTCTGTGGATGGGGCTCATGCTTTCATACTTGAATATACTTGAATATTCAATAACATTCTGATTTAACTGAATGTGTCTTGACGTCTGGTCGTGTTGTGGAACTTGTCCTCAGGCGCATGTACAAAGAGAGATTGGGAGTCCCCCCTAAAGTGATCATCGGGTACCAGTCCCACGCCGACACGGCCACGAAGAGCAGCTCCAGCTCCAGCAACAAGTTTGTGGCCTGACTTACTCCTGAGTCCAAATGGAGACTGCAGAGAACAGACATTACACTGAGTCTTGGACCAAAGGTGAGAAGCTTGTGTTAACTGCAGCATTTTGTTTCATTGAAGACTTGGATCCAAAATGCAATGTTTTTGTTTTCAAATGTTGTGCGAGAAGTTTGTCACGTGGGAAAGTGCTTTTTCTAATTTACTGTTATAAATAAATAGAAACGAGGTGATGCCTTGACACTTTTCCTTTCATGGTTTTGTTTCTAATGTCATTGTAGAAAGTGCTACAAACTGGACAATCCAGTTCATTTATTTTAGTAGACATGTTACTCCACATTAAATATATCATACTCCGCATTCCTTGTTGTTCACTGGGAAAAACATCTGCAATGAACCACACAATTATATAATGGATGAAAATGAACACATTTCCCTTTTTATTGAAGGAGAAACTGTTTGAATAAATGTGGTGCATTCTGTCTGTGCGACGCAAACTCAGAATCACTGTGTTTAAACCTAGGCCTGAATTGTACTGAACTAAATGTACTTTATACTACACCTAAAGATTAAGTGTTGTCTCACTAAAGAGTCTAACCCTGTGAAACAAACTACAGGTTATTTAGTTCAGAGTGATGGCCGTAACTGAGCCAAAATGAATCACCTATTCAGTACAAATTATTCATTTTCCACCCCTTTATTAGTCCATTTCTGGGTCGGGGGGGGTGGCAATGAGAGCTGCCACCCAACGCTCATAGCACCAGTCCCTCTGATCCTCTGCAGGTGGTGGGTCCACAGGAAGATGGCTGCTTCGTCAACAGGAGCATACGTTTCTTGCCCAAGGACACGACAGCAGACATGAGTGGGAGCAGTTGACGTAGGTCTTGTGGTGGACTCGAACCCACAACCTTCAGGCCCAAAGGCCAATGGTCCACCAACTGAGCCACTGTCGCCCCCAAACTACAATCTTGTCTTTCAAAAAGGGAGAAACATAACATAGATGTAATGTCTATAACACACAATGTGAATCTCGTGACGCTGATTACAGCAGAGATTTATCCTATTGATACTTTGCTCACAGTAAAAACATTAGTTTAACGTCTGCTCTCGTGACCTCCAGTGGACAAAGTTTACAGACTGATGAAACATCCTACTGTAGATATTTCCCTCAAATACAATCACTTTACCCCTCGGGCAAGTTGACCCGCCACAGTGATTAAAAGTAGACTAAATAATCCTCAGCTATCTGTAAACTCCGGTCAATGATCATTCCCCTTACTTCAAAATGAGTAAGATCTGGTAAGACTAGGCTAGGTCTAAATGACCCAGATCCTCATCAGTAAAAATAAAAATCTAGATTATTTTTAATTACTGCATTGAGTCAATTTGACCTGAGGATAGCACACAGGTTAAATCCAATCTCTGGAGTTAAGCACATTTGACTTACATGGCACTAAGTTATGTGTGAACAGTTCCTATGGCTTATACACGTGTTAAGGACAAGGAAAAACAAGGAGGCAGGCATTTAATATGAATTTGGATGCAGCCAGTGAGTGTTTTTAAAGGGAAATACAATGAAGATAAAGCAGCAGCAATGGCTCCTCGAATACAGAAGCCTAATGGCCCTGTAACGGTACGGCGCGGTTATTTTGCATTTCCACTAGTGTTTGGTATCGGAGTTTGCATCCTTTTCGTACCACCTCCACTGTGGTTCCATCTGCGCCGTACCGATACCATGACGTGACTCTCTGGGCCTAAAGAAAGAAGCTCGAGGCTCAACACGGAGGTTTCATGAGGTTTTCAGGGAGCTCTGGATTTGTGACTAGTCTGTGGTGATCCTGAAATAACTGTTAGCTACGAATCCCGTTAAAGCTCTCACTGAAATGTATTTACTGTGTACATGTTTGATTGTCTGCTATCGTTTAGCTATCGTTTAGCTATCGATAGCAGCTAAGCTAACGTCCTTCCTGTGCTACTGTGCTGGATTCAGCTCTTTCACGTGTTTCTGTTTTGTGCTTGTATTTAAGTTGTTGTGTGTGTATTTGTTTGAGAATCCCTTCCTTTGTTTGAGAAGTGTGGAGATTACCAACGAGCAGTGACCGGACACTTCACATTCTCGTCTGAACCTGGTCTGAACCTGGTCTGAACCTGGTCTGGACCTGGTCTGGACCTGGTCTCAGACATACTTTGGACTTTGTAAACTGTTGGTTTTGCACTTTACTTTTGTTTTTAATAAATCTGTGATTGTATCAAGACTTTGTTTCATTTTGTCTGTACAGGTGCAGAAAAGGGGGTCAAAAATTACGGCCTCCTACCATTTACTTTATATACATTATATTTGTCAGTAAATCCGTATAACATTGGTAAATGCAAATACAAAAAGGTTTTATTTTTGGTCAAAATAAATGTTTAGGCATATGACAAGCGACTCATTGGATAGCCCTCTGCACCAGTGCTACACAGCTGCTGTTGCTACAGGTGTGTCCCATTCTGTCACATGGTCTCTCCATGGTTTTCAGATGGTACAGAGCAGTCAGCACCAGTGACTTCACATGTTCAGTGTCAGTCATTCCTTTAAGAACAAAGCATTTAACAACCACTCGCGCTGTGCTGAATTTTCTATTACATACTTGCTGTTAGTCTGAAAGGGTTTTAGGAGCCAGTACTGCAGGGGGTAAGAGGAGCCCCCTGTAGGTAATGGCCAGTACTGCAGGGGGTAAGCAGAGTCCCCTGGAGGTAATAGCCAGTCCTGCAGGGGGTAAGCAGTCCCCTGGAGGTAATGGCCAGTACTGCAGGGGGTAAGAGGAGCCCCCTGTAGGTAATAGCCAGTACTGCAGGGGGTAAGCAGAGTCCCCTCGGAGGTAATGGCCAGTACTGCAGGGGGTAAGCAGAGTCCCCTCGGAGGTAATGGCCAGTACTGCAGGGGGTAAGCAGTCCCCTCGGAGGTAATAAACAGCTATCACCGATATAAGAAATCCATGCACCGCACCAATGTTACTAGTTACGCGTCGCGCAGAAATGACGTGGTCTGACAACGCTGAGGAGATACAAGAAGGTACTATTTTTGATTGAAAACCACCCGGACTCGGCAGCACAAGTCAGATGCTGTTTAGAGTCCTCCGTCTCTGGTATCAAGGAAACCCAATAAGATATATTATAGGAAGCTACTAGCGACCACTTGTGAAAGCTCATGGGATCCAAATAAGTCAAACTTACAGATGAAATCAAAGGCATGTAATTTGTGAGCTACGAATGAGGACTGGAGCCTGAGCTGCAGTGGCACTTTCCAGACTCTTTAAAAAAACCTGCCCTCAGAACTGCACCCAGTACACTTAGCACCAGCCCCTCACTGATCCTCCTGCAGGTGGTGATCCACAGGAACTGAGATCTTTCAGTGGGGGTTTCAGGCAAAGTGGGGTTAAGTGTCTTGCCCAAGGACACGACAGCAGTCATCAGCGGGAGTCGTGAAGTAGGTCTTATGGTGGGCTCGAACCCACGACCTTCAGGCTCTAAGGCCAATGCTCTACCAACTGAGCCACTGTCGCCCTCTATTTATCCTGCTATATATATTTTGTATCATACACTGTATAGAAGCATTTACAGCTAGCCAACAAACAGCAGCTACTATTTGGTGCTCTTACTACTGTCCTGTGTGCTGCAACATTAAAATTTCCCCACTGTGGGTTGAATGTAGGTTCTATTATCTTATACATAAAAAGAGGTATAGTATCTACAGCTATGAACAGTATATGAAGTGTGATATACATCTGTGCATTCAGAAATAGAGGTTTAACTCCTGAAAAGCATTGGGTCGGCTCTTCAGACATGTCCTCTAATGTACAGCTCTGTATAAAGTAACGGGTCCTTCGCAGTGAGCCTCTGCTCAGGACCTTTCATGACTCTGGTAGCTTCTGCCACTCACTACACTGCTGTCTGCTGGGCACTGGGCAGGAGCAGACTGAACAAGCTGGTCAGGAGGGGGTGAGGGACAGGAGGCCCCTGGACTCTGCGGAGGAGGTGAGGGACAGGAGGCCCCTGGACACTGTGGAGGAGGTGAGGGACAGGAGGCCCTGGACTCTGTGGAGGAGGTGAGGGACAGGAGGCCCTGGACTCTGCGGAGGAGGTGAGGGACAGGAGGCCCCTGGACACTGTGGAGGAGGTGAGGGACAGGAGGCCCTGGACTCTGCGGAGGAGGTGAGGGACAGGAGGCCCCTGGACTCTGCGGAGGAGGTGAGGGACAGGAGGCCCCTGGACTCTGCGGAGGAGGTGAGGGACAGGAGGCCCCTGGACTCTGCGGAGGAGGTGAGGGACAGGAGGCCCCTGGACTCTGTGGAGGAGGTGAGGGACAGGAGGCCCCTGGACTCTGTGGAGGAGGTGAGGGACAGGAGGCCGCTGAACTCTGTGGAGGAGGTGAGGGACAGGAGGCCCCTGGACTCTGTGGAGGAGGTGAGGGACAGGAGGCCCTGGACACTGTGGAGGAGGTGAGGGACAGGAGGCCCTGGACTCTGCGGAGGAGGTGAGGGACAGGAGGCCCCTGGACACTGGAGGAGGTGAGGGACAGGAGGCCCTGGACTCTGCGGAGGAGGTGAGGGACAGGAGGCCCCTGGACTCTGTGGAGGAGGTGAGGGACAGGAGGCCCCTGGACTCTGCGGAGGAGGTGAGGGACAGGAGGAGTCAAAGTCACCTCCATCATGGACAACACCTCCCACTGCACAGGACTGAGGAGGAGTTGGGGCCTTCCTCCCCAACCCTGTCTGATTGTACAATGAGCCACTAATGCACTAGGACTGGAAACCCCTGCACTGCTATTGTCAATTTTTTATTGTCCATCCATCCATCCATCCATCCATTTTCTGCCCTTTAATCCATTTCTGGGTCAGGGGGGTGGCAGTCAGAGATGCCACCCAAGTCTCATAGCACCAGCCCCTCACTGACCCTCTGCAGGTGGTGAGTCCACAGGAGGACGGCTGCTCTCTGAGTGTGAGCATAGCCTTGATCTTTCAGTGGGGGCTTTGGGCAAAGTGGGGTTAAGTGTCTTGCCCAAGGACACAACGACAGCAGTCATCAGTGGGAGTCGGTGGGGAAGGTGTAGAGGTGGGAAATGAACCCACGACCTTCAGGCCTTAAGGCCAATGCTCTACCAACTGAGCTACTGTCGCCCGAATTTTTTATTGTACATAATTTAAAAAGGGCCAATACCAGCTGCTTTTTAGTGTAAGTGTACCATTGAATGTCTGAATACATACGCTTAAGCAACCAAACCTTTATTTTGGTTTAAGTCCAACAGACCAGTGCTACTTTTGCCATTAAGTAGCAATTGAATGAGAAGGTTTCTGCTGTGAAAAATGTGTTAAAATGCATCCATAAGAAATTAACATGTTTATTTTTGTGTAATGATTACACAAAGATTATCATAAGAACCAAACCGGCTATTTGACCTATTTACCTGTGGGAAACAGGAGCACCTGAAACTCAGGACACAGGAAGAACATGCAAACTACACAGACTAAGGGACCCACATTTTGTTCATGTTTTCAACACAATTATCTGAGTACAGTACATCATAATGATCTCATAATAACTGCAGTTACCTGTGTATGGGCTCTATCATATATTGGTGTATGGGCTCTATCATATATTGGTGTGTATATTATGAGTTCTATCATTTATAAGTTCTATCATTTAATAGTGTAGCTATGGGCTTTATTATATTTTAGTGTATATACAGGGTTCGTTCATAGATTAGTGTATGGGCTCTATCATATATTAGTGTGTATGCAAAGCTCACATACATGCATACATACATGCATGTATGTATGCATGCATGTATGCATACATACATGCATGCATACCTTGCGAAAGTATTCGGCCCCCTTGAACCTTTCAACATTTCGCCACATTTCAGGCTTCAAACATAAAGATATAAAATTTTAATTTTTTGTCATGAATCAACAACAAGTGGGACACAATCGTGAAGTGGAACGAGATTTATTGGATAATTTAAACTGTCATTCAGCCAACTTCAGTTGTGTTCATTTGATCATTTTAAAGCTCAGTCAAGACAGTTTTTCAGTCAGTGTGCCTCAGGAAAGCTGTGGCTACAATAGTTTCCTATGACCACTGTGTATGGAGTGAAAGAAATATGACTCGTGAAGTGTCTTGAGTGTCCAGAAAAGTGCTGTATAAAACTGATGCGTTGTGATTATTATTATTATTATTATCTACTAGAGGCCTCCAGCGTGTACTGTCGTTACTAAGTTTGTTCTCTGCTTTCATTGGTGAAAGGCAAAGTTTACTTTGTTCCACAAGAAACTTTTGTGACGAAATGACTCATTAGTGAGGATGTAATAACGGGATTAAAAGCAGAGAAACACAGGATATAGGACTCTTCCTGAGTGTGTTATGCACTTGTATGAACTGTGCAATATAGGGATGTAAATCGGTGACCATTTAACCAGTAGTTGACCGTCACAGCGTTAACCGGTCAAAACTGTCGGTTAAAAAAAAAGGGGGAGGAGGAGGTCTCTTAATAACTCTATTTTAAGCCCTATTTGCACGGTGTGACGAGCGGGTCTGTCTCTAGATGTGTGCGCCAAGGTATCAGTAAACTCCGGGCCGACTCTCATGCAACACACACACACAGCCAGGCCCCCTTGAACCTTTCAACATTTCGCCACATTTCAGGCTTCAAACATAAAGATATAAAATTTTAATTTTTTGTCATGAATCAACAACAAGTGGGACACAATCGTGAAGTGGAACGAGATTTATTGGATAATTTTAACTTTTTTAACAAATAAAAAACTGAAAAGTGGGGCGTGCAATATTATTGGGCCCCTTTACTTTCAGTGCAGAAAACTCAGTCCAGAAGTTCAGTGAGGATCTTTGAATGATCCAATGTTGTCCTAAATGACTGATGATGATAAGTAGAATGCACCTGTGTGTAATCAAGTCTCCGTATAAATGCACCTGCTCTTTGATAGTCTCAGGGTTCTGTTTAAAGCACAGAGAGAACCATGAAGACAAAGGAACACACCAGGCAGGTCCGAGATACTGTTGTGGAGAAGTTTAAAGCCGGATTTGGATACAAAAAGATTTCCCAAGCTTTAAACATCTCAAGGAGCACTGTGCAAGCAATTATATTGAAATGGAAGGAGTATCAGACCACTGCAAATCTACCAAGACCCGGCCGTCCCCCCAAACATTCATCTCAAACAAGGAGAAGACTGATCAGAGATGCAGCCAAGAGGCCCATGATCACTCTGGATGAACTGCAGATAACTACAGCTGAGGTGGGAGAGTCTGTCCATAGGACAACAATCAGTCGTGCACTGCTCAAATCTGGCCTTTATGGAAGAGTGGCAAGAAGAAAGCCATTTCTCAAAGATATCCATAAAAAGTCTCGTTTAAAGTTTGCCACAAGCCACATGGGAGACACACCAAACATGTGGAAGAAGGTGCTCTGGTCAGATGAAACCAAAATCTTATTTCTGTCTTTTATTGTCTGTATTTGTCTGTGCACACTGGAGACTTGTGCTACTGTATTCCAATGTGGTTTTTTTTACTGCAAATGGCAAATACACTGAATCTGAATCTGAAAATCGAACTTTTTGGCCACAATGCAAAACGATATGTTTGGCGTAAAAGCAACACAGCTCATCACCCTGAACACACCATCCCCACTGTCAAACATGGTGGTGGCAGCATCATGCTTTGGGCCTGCTTTTCTTCAGCAGGGACAGGGAAGATGGCTAAAATTGATGGGAAGATGGATGGAGCCAAATACAGGACCATTCTGGAAGAAAACCTGTTGGAGTCTGCAAAAGACCTAAGACTGGGACGAAGATTTTTCTTCCAACAGGACAATGATCCAAAACATAAAGCCAAATCTACAATGGAATGGTTCACAAATAGACGTATCCAGGTGTTAGAATGGCCAAGTCAAAGTCCAGACCTGAATCCAATCGAGAATCTGTGGAAAGAGCTGAAGACTGCTGTTCACAAACGCTCTCCATCCAACCTCACTGAGCTCCAGCTGTTTTGCAAGGAAGAATGGGAAAGAATTCCAGTCTCTCGATGTGCAAAACTGATAGAAACATACCCCAAGCGACTTGCAGCTGTAATTGCAGCAAAAGGTGGCGCTACAAAGTATTAGCGCAAGGGGCCGAATAATATTGCACGCCCCACTTTTCAGTTTTTTATTTGTTAAAAAAGTTTAAATTATCCAATAAATTTCGTTCCACTTCACGATTGTGTCTGACTTGTTGTTGATTCTTGACAAAAATTTTAGTTTTCATAATTATGTTTGAAGCCTGAAATGTTGAAAGGTTCAAGGGGGCCGAATACTTTCGCAAGGCACTGTACATACATACATACATACATACATACATACATACATACATACATACATACATACATACATACATACATACATACATACATACATACATACATACATACATACATACATACATACATACATACATACATACATACATACATACATACATACATACATACATACATACATACATAGTCTGCTAAACCGATTACTCTGAGAGGAGGGGACGACCAGTCCAAGATGGCGGCGCTACGGCTCGTCAGCGCCAATAGACAGTAGCGGTAGATGCGGGGTCTACTCTTTATATGTCTATGGGTTGCTAGCTCCGATCACGGATAAAAGAAAGTTCAGAAAGAAGCATTAAAATCACAAAGTACATTAGCATCATACATAATCACAGTGCGTTAAAGACACAGAAACAGAATTTTTATTTTTATTTTTCCTGGATTTGAACGTTACACAATATATTTTAAAACTAGGGCTGTCAAAATTATTGCGTTAACGCACGTTAATAAATTTTTTTCATTAATCGCGTTAAAAAATTTGACGCATGCCCATGCGTCCCATAATAACACTCAGAATGCCGCGGACACATGCGCGTGTGTAAGATGGGGACAGAGCAGGTCTCTGGGAATTCAAGTTTTGAAAGAATACACGCGTGACCGCGGGGCACTTGTAGTTTCCTGTATGAACTCTGCATGATGAGCTGCGGGCGCCACAGCGCTCTGGACAGGTCCCACTTCCAGCGGCTGTGATCACGGGGAACGGCGCTGCGTAATGGGATCACATCCAAGACCACGCACAGAACTATTACAGAACTATTCTCTAGTGTGCGTTACACAATATGTAAAGCGCTGAAGCTGGACTGCGGAGCCTCAGTCTCCTCCGTGTCTTCTCCCAAAGCGCACTCGCTAAATTAAAGCTGAGGTACCTAATTTTCCTTTCGACCATCAGTTCATGTTAGTTGTGCCAAAAAAGTAATGGTGTGAGCAAATCAAACAGATTTAATGACATTCTGCATTTCAGACTATTTTGAAATGTCCCTCATCTGTAACAAACAATGGTTTTGGTCTGAGTCTAAACAGAAAGACAGAATGTTAATAATGTTAATTATTAACAATTATTATTAATGTTAATTAAGTAAAGCTGGGTTAATATTTACCGTCTCTGGAAAGATTCAACTAAACCCTGCGTCGTCAAGATCCTTTTGGGGAGAACGCGTCTCTGGCCACGTCTGCGTAAGTAGAATAGTAGTTTATATTTAGTTCAGATGAAGAAAACATCTTTATAAGCTTTATTTTCCTTCACCTTTGACCAGGCCGCTCCCGTTTCAGTCTACGCACTTTTTATCTAACCCTGGGCTTTTAAAACTACAAATATCTTCACAGTTCATTGAGATTGAGGCCCATTGAGTCACTTTTACTCCTCTTTAATCAGTTTTTCGTCGTCGTTTTCCAACAAACAGTAAAGTTAATCGTCACAGGCCGCTCCCATTTCTTCTCAGGACCTACGCACTTTATTTTCCTACAGTATGTCTGGCTTTTTAACCACTGACTCTTCCTCATGCTGCACTTGCTAAAAGGTTCATACGAGTTTACATGTATTCTGACCTGTTTGCTTTATTACAGGTCTCTGAGTCTCATTTTCACATCTCTCATGTTAAAAACACTCAAACCGTGTTTTCCATTTGATTTTCTTATTTCTTACAGCCCTAGTTAAGTCCAATTAGTTTTGTGTAGCCCTAATTTAAACACCAGTCGTCTCAGAGAACTTTAAAAAGTTGTTGATTTCTCCACATCAGAGAATCAAGTTCAAACCCACTGTCCTCTGCATCGGCAAAGAACAACTGAGATTTCTGTGGAGAAAAACCCTCAGGGAGGCCCATAGATCCAGGACCGAGGCTGTAGATCCAGGGCCGAGGCTGTAGACCCAGGACCGAGGCTGTAGATCCAGGACCGAGGCTGTAGATCCAGGACTGAGGCTGTAGATCCAGGACTGAGGCTGTAGATCCAGGACCGAGGCTGTAGATCCAGGACTGAGGCTGTAGATCCAGGACTGAGGCTGTAGATCCAGGACTGAGGCTGTAGATCCAGGACTGAGGCTGTAGATCCAGGACTGAGGCTGTAGACCCAGGACTGAGGCTGTAGATCCAGGACTGAGGCTGTAGACCAGGACTGAGGCTGTAGACCCAGGACTGAGGCTGTAGACCCAGGACCGAGGCTGTAGATCCAGGACCGAGGCTGTAGATCCAGGACTGAGGCTGTAGACCCAGGACTGAGGCGTAGATCCAGGACTGAGGCTGTAGATCCAGGACTGAGGCTGTAGATCCAGGACTGAGGCTGTAGACCCAGGACTGAGGCTGTAGACCCAGGACTGAGGCTGTAGATCCAGGACTGAGGCTGTAGATCCAGGACTGAGGCTGTAGATCCAGGACTGAGGCTGTAGACCCAGGACTGAGGCTGTAGACCCAGGACTGAGGCTGTAGACCCAGGACTGAGGCTGTAGACCCAGGACTGAGGCTGTTTGAACTATTCATTATAATTTCTCTTTGTATCACAGACCTCTGCTCTCTCTGTGCACTGCTACATTTTGGGGATAATGGAGCCTCTCAGTCCTGGTGCAGATCTCGGCCCTGATCTGAGCTCTCTGTGTCGCTCTGAGGAAGAATCTGAAAGGTTTGAAACTTTAATAATGTGTTCACTTTGTCTTTTATGTGCATCTTTACTTTTGTATTCGCTCGTCATTCTCCTTCAGTTTTCACAGATACATTTCTTTTCTTCAGGAAGACGATGAACAAACCTGGATCTAAAACCAAAACAAAATCTAGACCGGCTTCTATTCCCAGCTGTGAGTCTCTGAAGAGCAACGAGCCCAAAGAGGCGATAATCGACTCTAAAAGGTTTGTTTCTTCCTGAGTGTGTGCTCCGCTGTAACACGCTCTGAACATATTCTGTTTGACTGTTGGGACTCGGACATCATCCTGGATTTCAAAGGTTGTAGATGTAACAAATGTGAGATGGGCCTCTGTCCTGCTCCAATCAGGGCAGTTTTAGTCCCAAAAGTCTCGTCTGTGTGTTCTCGCTTCTGTCTCCTGTCTGCTCTGGGTCGAGGGGCCCCAGCCCTGGCTCAGGGTTCCCTCACGTTGTGTCTTCATCTCTGTCCAGCCCATGGATCTATAATAATATCTGGATAGAGTATTATTAGCTTATAGCTGTCCCACCAATGGACACAGGGGGCGCTGTGGTACTGCAGACACGTGGGCTACTCAGAAAAATGTCCCATAGAACTCAATGTAAACTAAAACAGCTGGACCTCAGCTGACAGAGAACCTGACAGAGAACCTGACAGAGAACCTGACAGAGAACCTGACAGAGAACCTGACAGAGAACCTACAGCTTTCATAAAGGTCGGATTTTGTGGAGATTTTTGTGTCGTTGTCGTCCTGAACTTTTTTTTTCTTGGTAAATCCTTCAGTTTTCTATAAATCCACATATTAAGGCAACAAACTGCTTGTTTTCTTCCCGCTCTGGCTCGGCTCTGATTGGTCAAAGCGCGGTAGAACCCCTCTGTGCACGTGCATGAGAGCCACACACGTATTTGGTGCAATGCACCATGGGAGCTCGTCCACTGCGCTGAACCGGGAGGACCAGACGATGCCCAAATATGGTCGAGTTCCTCTGATCTTTCAGTCCTGTGTATGTCCCATGTGCTGCTGAGCACAAGCCATTGATTTGAACAGGACGCCATCTTGGATCGCCGGGCCTTGGTCCAGCCTCAGTGATGCTCTCCTCGTGCACAGTTTAGTGCATGTGTGTCTCCCATGAGAGATAAGAGCAGACGGCCTTGAGTTGAGAATTCTCTTCCACAACAGCTGCAGAGACTTGTTCTTTCTCCTAAACTTGAACTCACTGTTTTGAGAAGACTGAGCCAGAGACCAGCAGCTTGTGCTTTCCTCTTTCTTCACCTTTCACTCTTTCACACAATTGGATTTAATCAGTTAAGTATAAAAACATTTGAATACATTATAATGATTTAGTTTAAAATGTAGACAGATCCATATGAAGAGAAAATATAGTTTTAGGATTGATGTTTGTCTGAGTCTGAATCTCTCCTGGAATCACAGAGAACCAGCCGCTCTGCATTCGGGCCTCCTGAGCTGGAGTCTGCTCCAAAAGGACTTGAAACTCAATTCTATTTATTTATCTAAATCACAACAGCAGTCGTCTCCAGGACTTTACAAAGTTGTCGATTCCTAAACAACAAATCAGAGAATCAAACAGTTTGAACACAGGAAATGCAGTAATAACAAATGTCCATAAATGTCCTTACATGTAACTTATGCTCATTTATCTCCTGATTGAATATTCATATTTACAGTATATTTTACCGCAGGCTAAATTAGGCCCGAGCCCCAACTGGGGTTAGGGCCTATTGCTTTCCCAACAAGTTTGGACTTTCCTTTCTATATGTGTAATCTCACTTTTAGTGAATAATTGTTATTAAGAACAAGCATAATGTGTGTGTGAACATTTGGATGGATGTGTTTTATATTTCAACATTGTTCTTACAGAAAGTAAAATAAATATTAACTGTTTAAAATCATCTTCAGGAGGAAACTGGACAAATCTGGATCTCAAACCAGACCTGGTCCCAGCTGCGAGTCTCTGAAGAGCGACAGGTCCAAACATCCAATACTCTACTTTAAAAGGTTTGTTTGAATGTATTTATTTGATCTGGGACAAAGCACAAAAACAAACGTCTCATAAAAAGAAACGATGTCCTGTGCCAGGTTTTAGTAAATCTGCTCGTTTCCAGCCGTAGTCCTGGACAGGATGGAGATGATTACAGTAAGACTGATGGACAGTCTTTTTCAGCTTCACTCAATATAAAATACAGTCCAAACATTACTATCACACACACACTCTCATATTCATACACTTTATTATGTTCTCTCTGTGTCTGCGCAAGTTTCCTCCAGGTGCTCCGGTTTCATCTTCCCCTAAAAACATGTACAATAGTTACAATCCTCCTCAAATGTATTTTAAAAATCACAATTTAAAATGAAATGGTCGACTAATAGAATGAAGAGATCCTTTGTTAGTCTCACAGTGGGGAAATGTCAGTGTTGCATCAGCAGTTACAGAACAGTAGGAATGAGGAGCACACGGCACAAGATCAATGAACAATAACTCTATACTCAATAAAATAAAATAAAAACCTCTAACTCTGTTATGAAGAAGAAACAAGTATAAAATCTCTATCTCTGGCATAATGAGAACAAACAACTCTGACTTTAGCAAAATAAAGGAGTAGAACATCTACCTTCCTTATTGGGCTCATCATTCTCCAGTTTTCATGGATCCATTTACTTTTCTTCAGGAGGACAATGGTCAAACCTGGATCTGAAACCAAAAGAAAGTCCAGTTCTGGACCTGATCCTGGTCCCAGCTGTGAGTCTCTGAAGAGCGACAGGTCCAAAGATGTGATATTCGACTTTAAAAGGTGAGTTTGTTCCTGAGTGTGTGCTCCACTGTAACATGCTCTGAACAGACTCTTTGACTGTAGGGACTCGAACCCTCACCCTGCTCTGAGCTGTGGCTCCAGCCTCAGTGACAGCTCTAAAGACTGGCTCGTAGAGTTTAAGAACAGTCCACCTGAGAACATGGGGTAAGTGGCAGCACGGTTAAACCAGATCAGAAACACTCTCCACCAGTGACACAGAGAACAACAGAGTGTATAGAAGTATTGCCTCAAAATGTCCGCTCTGACTTTACTGATCCACACCATCATTTAGTGCACTTCAACTTCATCTGCACTTGTTTGGATGGTCGTAGTCTCTGGACTGATGCACATCATGTCTCCACTGGAAGTGCTCAGTCTCTGCTTCAGAAGTGACTTTTTGAGTTTGGATCAGAAAAGGACAGGAGTTAAGTGGTCTCGCTCTGGACTAACATCAACTTATAGATGGTCTCTCTCTGGTCTCCCTCTTCTCTCTCTCTGGTCTCCCTCTGGTCTCTCTCTGGTCTCGCTCTGGTCTCTCTCTGGTCTCCCTCTGGTCTCCCTCTGGTCTCCCTCTGGTCTCTCTCTGGTCTCGCTCTGGTCTCCCTCTGGTCTCCCTCTGGTCTCTCTCTGGTCTCTCTCTGGTCTCTCTCTGGTCTCTCTCTGGTCTCCCTCTTCTCTCTCTCTGGTCTCCCTCTGGTCTCTCTCTGGTCTCGCTCTGGTCTCGCTCTGGTCTCGCTCTGGTCTCCCTCTGGTCTCTCTCTGGTCTCGCTCTGGTCTCCCTCTGGTCTCCCTCTGGTCTCTCTCTCTGGTCTCTCTCTGGTCTCTCTCTGGTCTCGCTCTGGTCTCGCTCTGGTCTCCCTCTGGTCTCCCTCTGGTCTCTCTCTGGTCTCGCTCTGGTCTCTCTCTGGTCTCTCTCTGGTCTCCCTCTGGTCTCCCTCTGGTCTCGCTCTGGTCTCGCTCTGGTCCCTGGCAGCTGCTGAAACAGAGGATCCACGGCTCCACAGCAGCTGTGCTCCGGTGTGGATATCGCTAACGCTAACGCCGCCGCACGCTAACGCTGTCGCACGCTAACCGGAGCTGCTTCCAGACACAAGATGGCTGCTCTGGAGTTGTAGAAGTCACAGAAGTGTTTTTCTTCTGAAACCGGAGACTTTGTTTACGGCCGAGAACTGGAGCCTCACGAGGGTTTGATATCAGCATAAAACTGAACTTTAATGTTGTAAATCATTAAACACAGCAGCTGGAAGGAGACCGGAGGGAGACCAGAGGGAGACCAGAGGGAGACTAGAGAGAGACCAGAGGGAGACCAGAGGGAGACCAGAGGGAGACTAGAGAGAGACCAGAGGGAGACCAGAGGGAGACCAGAGGGAGACTAGAGAGAGACCAGAGGGAGACCAGAGGGAGACCAGAGAGAGACCAGAGGGAGACCAGAGGGAGACCAGAGGGAGACTAGAGAGAGACCAGAGGGAGACCAGAGGGAGACCAGAGGGAGACTAGAGAGAGACCAGAGGGAGACCAGAGGGAGACCAGAGGGAGACTAGAGAGAGACCAGAGGGAGATCAGAGGGAGACCAGAGGGAGACTAGAGAGAGACCAGAGGGAGAGACTAGAGAGAGACCAGAGGGAGACCAGAGGGAGACTAGAGAGAGACCAGAGAGAGAGACCAGAGAGAGAGACCAGAGAGAGAGACCAGAGGGAGAAGAGAGGGACCAGTGAGAGACCACAGGGAGACCAAGGGGAGACCAGTGAGAGACCAGAGAGAGCCCAGAGGATGACCAGAGAGAGACCAGAGGGAGATAGTCCTCTGAACTAATCCCCGCGGTGCACAAAAACCACAGTGGACTGTCGTGTGACATCACTCTCTCTCATCTCAGTTTGCCGCTGACACGTTGAGCCGCGGTTTGAGGCGATGACATCATGGATGAGTTTATGGAGGAGTTTCCGCGGCAACGAAGACTCCCGCTGGGACCAACTCATCATCCACAACCAAGGTACAACTGAGACATTTGAACCAACTCTGAGGAGCACAGGGACTGGACTCCTGCTGGGACTCTGAGGAGCACAGGGACTGGCCTCCTGCTGGGACTCTGAGGAGCACAGGGACTGGCCTCCTGCTGGGACTCTGAGGAGCACAGGGACTGGACTCCTGCTGGGACTCTGAGGAGCACAGGGACTGGACTCCTGCTGGGACTCTGAGGAGCACAGGGACTGGCATCCTGCTGGGACTCTGAGGAGCACAGGGACTGGCCTCCTGCTGGGACTCTGAGGAGCACAGGGACTGGCCTCCTGCTGGGACTCTGAGGAGCACAGGGACTGGCCTCCTGCTGGGACTCTGAGGAGCACAGGGACTGGCCTCCTGCTGGGACTCTGAGGAGCACAGGGACTGGCCTCCTGCTGGGACTCTGAGGAGCACAGGGACTGGCCTCCTGCTGGGACTCTGAGGAGCACAGGGACTGGCCTCCTGCTGGTCTCAGAGTCAGGACTAAACATGCTCTAGAAATCTACTTTGTACCTTTGTATTTTTGTATATTTGTTCCAACGCCCTCTCTCTTTGGTCTCTCTCTGGTCTCTCTCTGGTCTCTTTCTGGTCTCTCCCTGGTCTATCTCTGGTCTCTCTGGTCTCTCTGGTCTCTCCCTGGTCTATCTCTGGTCTCTCTGGTCTCTCCCTGGTCTATCTCTGGTCTCTCTCTGGTCTCTCTCTGGTCTCTCTCTGGTCTCTCTGGTCTCTCCCTGGTCTATCTCTGGTCTCTCTGGTCTCTCCCTGGTCTATCTCTGGTCTCTCTCTGGTCTCTCTCTGGTCTCTCTCTGGTCTCTCTGGTCCCTCTCTCTTCTCTCTCTGGTCCCTCTCTCTTCTCTCTCTGGTCTCTCTCAAGTCTCTCTCTGGTCTCTCTCTGGTTTCTCTCTGGTCGCTCTCTTCTCTCTCTCTGGTCTCTCTCTCTCTGGTCTCTCTGGTCTCTCTCTGGTCTCTCTGGTCTCTCTGGTCTCCCCCTGGTCTCTCTTTGGTCTGCCTCATGATGGATGTGTTGTAGATGATGGATGAGGCTCTGACATGTGGATCAGCAGAACACGCCTCGGTGTGAGGCAGACGCCACGACCACGACACACGCTGTGACGGCGAAAACACACCGCTATCATGTCGCACCAGAGACAGAAATAACTAGCACTCACACCAGACATGTGCTCCATGGTCTCCCCTGGTCTCTCTCTGGTCTCTCTCTGGTCTCCCTCTGGTCTCTCTCTGGTCTCTCTCTGGTCTCTCTCTGGTCTCTCTCTGGTCTCTCTCTGGTCTCTCTCTGGTCTCTCTCTGGTCTCTCTCTGGTCTCTCCCTCTGGTCTCTCTCTGGTCTCTCCCTGGTCTCCCTCTGGTCTCTCTCTGGTCTCTCTCTGGTCTCTCTCTGGTCTCTCTCTGGTCTCTCCCTGGTCTCCCTCTGGTCTCTCTCTGGTCTCTCTCTGGTCTCTCCCTGGTCTCCCTCTGGTCTCTCTCTGGTCTCTCTCTGGTCTCTCCCTGGTCTCCCTCTGGTCTCTCTCTGGTCTCTCTCTGGTCTCTCCCTGGTCTCCCTCTGGTCTCTCTCTGGTCTCTCTCTGGTCTCTCCCTGGTCTCCCTCTGGTCTCTCTCTGGTCTCTCTCTGGTCTCTCCCTGGTCTCCCTCTGGTCTCTCTCTGGTCTCTCCCTGGTCTCTCTCTGGTCTCTCCCTGGTCTCCCTCTGGTCTCCCTCTGGTCTCTCTCTGGTCTCCCGTTGGGCTCTCTCTGGTCTGACTGAGGTGATGTAATGATGCATACTCTCGCTGTAGCCACATCTGCCATGGGGCTGAGTGACAGGAAGTTGGCGAGCCTGAGCCTCAGTGCAGAGCTCTGTGGGAAAGAGAAACCTCAGTAAACTGTTGGCGAGAGAGGATCAACTGCGGTGGAAACATGAGAGACCCCCCTGCTGAGAGAGAGAGACTGAACACACGCTAACGTAATACAGGGGTCTCTGCTCTCTCTGGTCTCTCTCTGGTCTCTCTCTGGTCTTTCTCTGGTCTCTCTCTCTGGTCTCTCTCTGTTCTCTCTCTGGTCTCTCTCTGGTCCCTCTCTGGTCTCTCTCTGGTCCCTCTCTGGTCCCTCTCTGGTCTCTCTCTGGTCTCTCTCTGGTCTCTCTCTGCTCTCTCCCTGATCTCTCTCTGGTCCCTCTCTGGTCTCTCTCTGGTCCCTCTCTGGTCTCTCTCTGGTCTCTCTCTGGTCCCTCTCTGGTCCCTCTCTGGTCTCTCTCTGATCCCTCTCTGGTATCCCTCTGGTCCCTCTCTGGTCTCTCTCTGGTCTCTCTCTCTGGTCTCTCTGGTCTCTCTCTGGTCTCTCTCTGGTCTCTCTCTGTTCTCTTTCTGGTCTCTCTCTGGTCTCTCTCTGGTCTCTCTCTGGTCTTTCTCTGGTCTCTCTCTGGTCTCTCTCTGGTCTCTCTCTGGTCTCTCTCTGGTCTCTCTCTGGTCTTTCTCTGGTCTCTCTCTGTTCTCTTTCTGGTCTCTCTCTCTCTCTCTCTGGTCTCTCCCTGGCCTCCCTCTACTCTCCCTCTGGTCTCCCTCTGGTCTCTCTCTGGTCTCTCTCTGGTCTCTCTCTGGTCTCTCTCTGGTCTTTCTCTGGTCTCTCCCTAGTCTCTCTCTGGTCTCTCTCTCTGGTCTTTCTCTGGTCTCTCTCTGTTCTCTTTCTGGTCTCCCTCTGGCCTTTCTCTGGTCTCTCTGGTCTCTCTCTGGTCTCTCTCTGGTCTCCTTCTGGTCTCCCTCTGGTCTCTCTCTGGTCTCTCTCTGGTCTCCCTCTGGTCTCTCTCTGGTCTCTCTCTGGTCTCCCTCTGGTCTCCCTCTGGTCTCTTTCTGGTCTCTCTCTGGTCTCCTTCTGGTCTCCCACATGAAGCAGAGACATCTCATTCATCAGTAAATCAGTGGAGGATTGGCCCTTTCTCAAACGGGGGTGTGCGTACCATGTGACCCTGGGTTCGCCTCTCGCGCTCGTCGCAAACACAAACCAGATGTTCCACCGATAAACGCTGTCAGAGCCAATAACAGAGACACACCTGCTACTGTACAGACCAGAGTGAGACCAGAGGGAGACCAGAGGGAGACCAGAGGGAGACCAGAGAGAGACCAGAGAGAGACCAGAGAGAGACCAGAGAGAGACCAGAGACTAGAGGGAGACCAGAGAGA